GCATTGAGATCTGGCCTCTGATTTGGCCACATCTGGACGTAAACATTGTTTTTGAGAGCGACCTGCTCGGGCTGACATACAGCTGTCACACTCTCACTCACGTTTCTTTATGGCGGATGTTCAGTTTTCCTTTGGATTTTGCCACAACATTAAAGTCAGACCCTTCACATATCAATGTTTTGATACTCAATAAAATACAATACCTCTCTTTTAGTACTGACATTATACTGAATATTCTCCTTACTTTAACATATATAATTACTAGGGCTGTCAATAGATTAGCTGATTAATCGCACATTTTGAAATTCATTAATCACGATTAATGACGATTAATGAATGTTGTTGTTGTTACAATGTTATTTTTCTTCTACAGACTAAATCTTGAGTAATCACTTTAGAAACGTGTATTTTAGACACTGTTTTTTAGTTATTAATGTTATTTTAACACAAAACTACACACATTTGATGTGGCGGAATTTCACCAGGTGGAACATGTTGAACAAGTAACTCCTCCTGCTGTCCTCATGCACTTCGCTCTCAACTCTCCATCATTTAACGGCTGTGTTTTAATCTCCCCACATTTAGCCAGGACGTTTTTAAACCACATGTTTTAGGGACACCGTGGTGGTCCTCTGCAGACTGTGTACCGCGCAGGGTAACGTTAGATGTTGAGATGGAAGAAGCCTAGCAGCTAGCTTAGCCTAGCAGCGAGCTTAGCCTAGCAGCGAGCTTAGCATAGCAGTGCTTTAAGTGGTCCGTTTGTCACTCACCCCCCCTTCTGCTTGACAGTAATTCCCCTGCACAGTTCTCCACTGTATGTAGTGCATCTGTTTATTTTACTTGCAATGCAAAAAGCTCTCTCCATCTTCATGTAACGTTAACTGACTGCAGCTAGTGGCCGTTTCGTTTCCGCGGTCAACTACCCGTTTACCGGAAATAAACCGGAAGTAAACAAATGTACGTTAACTACGTTAAAATATTTTGTTGCATTAATCTCGGCCACATTAATCGCAGAGATTAATGCGTTCAATTAATGAGAAGGTATACTGTCCAAACCTTGATCCGTGACATTTTCTTTTCATACTTACCGAAAAAGTACTGAAGTTCAATCTCCTGCCCTGAGAGTATTGTTCTTGCAGCTCAGAGCCCAGTCATATTCTGACATTGACTGTATGGCCTGTTTCACTGCTTTAAACTCCACATGTCCAATAACCCAGCGATGTAAAGCCTTTTACAAGCGAACAAGAATATCAGCTGCTCACTAAAAGGCTGAAAAACTCTCAATCTTGTCACTCGCATTCAGAGGAATTCCTTTCTGTGTGTTTCTGTTCCCCTGAAGAGAAGGGAACCTTTTGCTATCAGTGCTTTTAGCCGCGGCGGATCCTTTTAATGTCACCTTTAGGATTCATATGTTATTAGACATCACTTTGAATAAAAGACAAAATCAGGCCAACAGGGCGAGAGAGAGAGGTGGTCAAAGGGTTGAACATATGTTCTTTTTATACAGCTACATAATATAAAATACATGTAAAAAACAAGCAGCAGGGTGATGGGACACTCACACACACACACACACAAGTTCTGACTGAGTGGCGGCAGAGCAGCCTTTTTTATTCCTGAGTGACAGCTCACATCCAAATTGTCTAGTGATATGTAATGCTAAATGAACCGGATAAACACGTCTTTAAATGAGCGGACAGCCCTGGCACCACCGCCCCGCTACCCTCTTTCATCAAACCTGTGGGTCCCTATCCTCCCCCCTCCACTCGCCCCTCGCACACACACACCGCCATCCCCCCATGGACTCATGCTGTTCAGGGTCCCAGACCCTCAGCACAGAGGCCGGCTAATGGAAAGCTTTCAAGACGGCTGGAGGAAGAAACAGAGATGTCCGCACTCATTTGGCCGGCCCCATCTCTGCGTGTGTGGTCATGGCTTTAGAATCACACACACGCACAAACACCTTGGGACACGCCATTATAAACAGGCCCAAAAACTGAAAACAACAACGCTGCTTGGCCCCTCCTCCCCCTTTTCTCCACACACACACTTGCATTGATCTGCACGTTTGTATCAGATTTTATTAAACTAGAAGTATGTTAACGTTAAGATTAAAGCCCACAGGACACAAGTTCTCTGATCAGGTAAATGCTCCAACATCTTTGCATAACAAATAGTTGTTTTCTGTTACATTAATCTGAATATCACTGCCAAAACCTTATTCAGTGCACGTTCTTGGAGGCACCTCACCCAGAATGCAATGGGCAAGAGTAAGGTTACACCCTTACTTGGACTGCAGTAACTAGAAACAAAACTCACAAGTCACCTGACCTTGCTTTATGAAACTTTGTGTGTTCTTTTTATTTTTTAATGCTGTAAAAGAAATCCAAAGCAACCAACGCGCACTGTAAAAGTCGTGGCGTAGTGGGTGCTTGGCAGGTGGGCTTCAGGGGAAGTGGCTCTTGGCTGCTTCCGGGCCGAGGACGCTTGGCAGGCCCAAGAAGCGCCTGTCGGCTGCCTCGCCGGTGTCTCTTGTTATTATTTCCCTCTCGTTCTGCTGCCTTTTCTTTTGCAGAGTCATGAATAATTTGTGCGCACGCCTTGTTGCTTGATGACAGCTGTGCAGTTGGTTTCACAGTCTGTTTTTTTTTTCAGATCAGGTGAATAATGAATAAGCCTCTGCAACAAAAGAGCTATGTCCTATATGTGCCCTGCCTGTCTTCATCCGTCCCGGCCTAGCTGGCGGGTCGCCCTCTGGGGAGGAAGCGGTGGGGGAGGACAGGTGAGCTGCGAAGTCTCTCTGCTGCGGAAAGTTTCCCTAAACGACAAGAACTTATCCCTTCCCCTATCGGAGCATAATAATCAGTGCTTTTTCTCCACCGCTTGCTGATAGAAATCATGCACCTCGTTCTGCGTTTGTAACTCGTCAAACCTGTGTGGAATCTGCTGATCGGAGCGTGAGAGCAAATAGCGCATTATTATTACAATATACACAGCGGCTCCGCTCGGCCCTCAGGGGAAACAGTCACATTGGCTCTGCTCGTGGTGAAGAGCGGCAGGTGTCCCCACCTATTTACTACTGTCAGCTGTGTGGGCGGGATCAATTTATTGTTATCTGTGAGGTGTTAGGCGCAATCAAAGCACCAAATAGTTAGGGGGGGGGGATCAAAATCAGATAGAAAAGTGTCTCTAAAATCTCTCTTTCATTATTTATGTTTAATTTTGCATTAATAATGAATCACTCCAAAACCACAAAACCGAGTCTGCTGAACTTTCTAATTGCACAACTGTGTCTGTCAAGAAAAATGAATCCAGTGGTGCCTCTGGGTGTGTGCACGCGTGGCCGTGCACACAGATGTGTGTGCACTTCTGGACCAAGGTGCAGGCCTAGATTCTGAGCCTTTGGACTGCAGTGCTCTGATTGCTGGCCCACTCCGATCGATCGAGCCGTCTTTATTTATATTTGATATGCCTTGGGGCAGTGGGGTAATGCTTCAAGGGAGAATCCACTCGTGCCCTTGGAGTAAATCTGGGGAGCCTAATGGCTCGTTAGGAGATTGTTTTTGCTGGGAAAGCTTCTGTCTGTGATTGTGCTTGTGGAACCAGGCAAGGTGTCCGATCGGGATTCGACTTCAGTTGTGAGTTTATGTTCATGAAAAACGTTCAAATCTGATGTGTGACATCAAACCTTATATACCTGGCACTTTACCGGGATGTGACGGGGAGGAAAAGCGAACACAAACATCCTTTGGTACCCGATGATAAGTAAGAAGAAACACGTCTCCATCAGGGTTTGATAAAACGACATGCTCATAGATGGACATGCTCATTCTACATGAACGTTCTATTCGGACACTGCAGGAGCAGCTTATTTCTATTCCAACAGAGTAAATGACGCGGCCTGGCCAGCAGCACTGAGGTGCTTTCCTGTTCTCCTTTCCGTCCGTCTGTCTGTCTCGGGGGTTTGAAATATTCAGGCCTGAATGTTGTACGATTTTCAGGGAGGAAGTGAGGCGTGAAAAAACAAATCCTTGTGAGTCAGTGATTTCAAGCAATGTCAAAGGAAGTTGAGTGACCGATTGTTCCTGTTTTTTTTTTTGTAACTTGTTTAGAGTCAGACAAGATGAAACCGTGAAAGGATAAAATGACGACAATGTGCGGAACTCAGGCGCTTCAATGCAAAATGGTTTTAACGGCTTTCATAAAAACCTAACTAACTTTCTGATGATGACTGAATGGAAATCATTTTTCAGCGCATCAGATTCGCCACTTTCAATAAACATCTTCATTTGATTTATTAATTCCTGATTTCATAAGTGTGTCCGATATTATCCATCCAGAGGCTCCGATTAAATCACAACAACGTCGACTTTCTGCGGCCCACCAGCAGAAATCCGCAGCGGATCGCAGCTGCTGCGTGTGTGTGCGTGCGCGCGTGTGTGCGCGTGTGTGTGTGTGCGTGTGTGTGTGTGTGTGTGTGTGTGTGTGTGTGTGTGTGTTTGTGGAGGGGGGGGGGGTGCCTGCAGCTTTTGTTTTTTGGCCTTGTTATTTAAAAAAAAAAACAGCCATGGTGGTAAAAAGGCATCTGGTTAACGGTTAAATCTGCTCAGGCTGTTTTGGGTTCAAACACACGGCTGCAGTGGTCAAAACAAACAGGGCGCCTCCGGGTAAATCACAACGTGCTTTATAACGTCACGGCGCTTTCTTTCTTTCTTTGTTTGTTGGTGGAACGTTGGAATTTTCCTCAACACGTTAAGTGTTGTTTTGCATGTGGAATATTATAACGAAGCAGTTTAATTAAAGACATTACAGCGAAATGCATTGCTGACAACGTTTATATTATATAAAATGTACAAATTCGGCGCACTAATTTGACACATTAAATGAGTATTTTTTCAATCTGTGGAGATTGATTTGGAAGGACAATGAATGTTGAATCATTTCACTTTCACTTTCAGATTTTATTGCATATTAAATCGTAATGACAAAACAACTCTATGTTCTGATTTTCTTTCCTGGGGAAACTATTTATTCATCACGTCAATAAAATGTGCAAAATGGAAAATTTCGTGAGTAAGGCAGTAACCCTCCTGTTTATTAAATCACACAGTCTGTTTTGCCATCATGTCTCCACACTAAAACCAAAAGACGTCGATCATTTGAAGAAACCCAGATTTCCATCTCTGTTGGCTTCAACTCGTCGATCCGGTTCTTTCATTTCACTATTTGGGGTTTATTGCCCAATGGCTGATTCTTTCATGATATATTTAATTACGCTTCAGCACAATTCACAGCTTATCCCTGGTTTTATGGACCTTTATAACAATCAGCAGGATGGTAGAATAATTAGTGTCTCCGTCAGAACAACTCTTATTCGTGAGTTTTCTTTATTAAAATAAATAATTGATCTGCCTATCGGAGGAGACAATTGTATATATATATAGAGAGAGAGAGCTATATATATATATATGTACATTCCCATCGCAGTTCTTTACATTAAGACTTTTCCGAAGCGGACCAAAGTGAGTCTTTGGGATTATCCTCAAACGGGGCGATTGGAATAAAAAAATGTCTCCGTCAGACGTCCTCACTCCTTTCAAGAATAACCAGTCCAATACAAAAGTCAGATTACATGACGTCATGTGCGCATGGGGTGGCTTCACTTCAGCCCGTGCTGCGTCTCTTTGTGTCTCCTCAGGTCCACTTTTCTCTGGAAGCCTTTGCCGCACAGGTCGCAGCAGAACGGTTTGTAGCCGGTGTGTTTCCTGCTGTGCGTGATGAGGTTGGAGCTCTGGCTGAACGCTTTCCCGCACACCTGGCATTTGTGTGGCTTCTCACCTGGGAAAAAAACAAAAAAACAATAGGAAACACATCAATATGGTTGTTTGATTTATTTAACAATTATATCGTGCACATCTGGCGGATTTGGCATTTTTTACGCACAGAAACAACACCGCTGTTTTACATTAAGAGCCGCGTTTTCTCCACTTGCCTGTGTGGATGAACGTGTGTTTCTTCATGTCGGACTTCTGATGGAACCTCTTGCCGCAGTACTGGCAGGGGTACGGCCTGGTGTCCGAGTGGATGAGCAGGTGCGTCGACAGGGTGGACGACCTCTTAAAACTTTTGCCGCAAATCTTGCAGTCGAAACTTCTCTCCTGTAACGCGACGCAGAACGGCGGGTTAGTCATGATTTCGAGCATCACGCCCATCCTGACCGAAAAGCAGGGTGACAACAACACGCAGAAAAGGTGCGAGCTGCAGGAAGCGGTTAAAAGTGTGTGTGTGTGTGTGCACGCGTAATTACCTGAGAGTGCACAGCTTTGTGTTGTTCCAGACTGACTCCGTGTCCGAACGTTTTGCCGCAGATTTCGCACGCAAACGGCCTGGTGCCACTGTGCGATCTGCGCACGTGAACCTCCAACCCGTGTGGAGTGGAAAACACCTGGTAGAAAGAAAATAGTAGAACGTTTAAGAACAAAATAAATACAAATATTTTGTCGCCAACAGCTTCAGTTGTTGAAATCAGTTCATCTCTAGATGATCCCTTCAGAAAGGTCAGAGTTGGACCTCTGACCAGAGAAGACCTCCATCCTCACCTTGCTGCACTTGATACACTTGTAAGCGCCATTGAGGGTCAGACTGGAGCACAGCAGGTCGGACTGCGCCTTCGCGCTGCGCGCTTTTTCGTGCAGGCCTCCGTCGGGGAACAGCAGGGCCGCGTTGTGCCTCCTGTAGTCACCGTACGTCTCCTCGCCCATGGTCCGCTCTGCGTACAGGGCCGAGTGCGCGCTCCTGTCCCCGTAGAAGGCCAACGCCGCCGGGGCCCTTTCCGCCTCCATCCCCGTGTGGAGGCTCTGCTGCACCAGGGGCCTCAGCCCCGGCGGCGTGTAGCTGCTCCAGGCATACGGCCGGAAGGGAATGGCGAAGGGCCGCGTCTCATCCACCAGAGGCGAGAGGGATTTCTCAGAATCCACTGGAGAGGGGGACAGAGGCCGGATGAAAATGGAATGAAACTCATTTTCCGATGGGACAGATGCAATGTTCTTTCAGAGAATTCGCAGATAATGATGCCGTTGGGGGAAACATCACAGGTAGGCATGAAGTGATAGGCCGAAATGCAATTATAAATAAACAAGCAACACCCGATTATAATTAAGTAGTTACAGAATTATCACGTGAAATGTGACAGCGTTATGATAGAAAGGGGCCCGGACGCTGCAGCAGCAACACTCATCTGTGATCCCCAAGCAGAGGTCGGAGGATGCACTGCTGAAAGAATGGTGGCGGTGTTTACCGGGGGACGCGGAGGGGGACGGAGGCCTCCAGAAGTCCTCGTAGACCGGGGAGCGACCGCACACACTGTCCGCGAGGCTCAGCGGCGACTTCGGGGAGAAATCCGCCGCGTCGGCCGAGTGGGAGTCCGGAGAGAGGCCGTACCTGTCCACCGACACGTCGGAGTCCTCTTGGAGCCTGTCGGAGTCTGAGTGGAGGACACGCAGGGACGTCAAAATACTGGGACGAGAAGGTTCGAGGGATGTTTTTAGTATTTTGTTTTTAAACATCAGGTGTAATCTCCTGCCACCCGGTTAGTTTCGGAGGTTTGAAAACTATAATATGTCCTACAAAAAGTCCCACACGTTAATTGAATACATGGCGCTATATAATTGTTTAATTAACAGAAATAATTTAAGCGCAAAACAGTAAAGGCATTATACTCATAACCCAAATAAAATAGTGAAACAGTAAAAAAGAGAAAAGAGATGCATCACTGTCGTGGCGTCAAATCTCAGAATAGATGTGTCAGTTGTACAAACTTCCGAGATATCACTTTGATTTTTAGAAAATAATCCAATGCTTCTTTCAATAAACTACTCAACCTGTTCCAGTCTGTTAACCTGCAAAATCAGTGATTTACCATCAGCGTGCAATTTCGCTTAGTGTGACATCATTTAATACGCCTTTAGAACAACTATTCTACTGCAACACACATTCTTACCATGGAAATGAATTTCAGTTTTTCAACCAGTGAAATGGCACAAAAAATAAATATCTAACATCGAACGGCATTATTTAAACGGTGGAGACTATTGAAAACACACACCTGAGCAAATGTGCGACAGTATTGTGTCCAGCCTGCTGTAGTCATCCTCCAAACTCCGCGGTTGGTGGTAACTGTGCGCCTTCTTGCTCTTCACCATGAAGGAGCGCGGCATCTCGGATGGGAGCGCGCGCCAGGCGCGGACAATCCGTCCAGCTGCGTGCGGAGCGGAGACCTCGACGGTGGACTGCGCTGCCCGCTGCAAACACCGCAAAGACCGGATCTCCACTGACGGGGAGGTGCCGAGCCGAGCGGTTTAAGAGACGCGCGACCTGACGACGGCGCATGCGCATGCGCACACCACCCGCCCCGTCTGCCAGGTGTTGCGCGGACAGGTGTCAGTGCTACGACTCCTCAGCGCACTGCAAAGGAAAACGTACGAACATATATGTATATCTATTCTTGATCACGGTCAATTTAATGATTAGAGGCAGGAATTTCAGACTGATGTTTACACGACGCCTCGCGGCCTGGATTCCAACTCATGGTTTCCATCTGCTTCACTCTTTACTGCTCATTTAATCTGTTAAATAAATCAGTCTAACTCCGGCCCACGAGTAGTTGTCATATGTCGATCATAACTGGCCCGCCGTTCAATAGGACGCACACGGCTGATATTAAAAGTCCCAGAAGGCACCGCAACAGCTACACGCGACAAATCCAGCGACTTCTCAGGAGGAGAAGGAGGCGGGGCTTCCCGGCGCGCGCTCACAACGACGGATCGCAGGGGAGACATGAAGGGGGTATTGAATTGAATTGTGGTATCGTAAGTATCGGATATCTTGGTATTTAGGGAAGTTTCTAATGTTGTCCGTCTCTGTGATCGAGTGTGACATCACTGCGCTATGGAGCGCGAGACAACAGCAAAACCCAAATCCTTTCAAGGTGGAACTAAAAGAAGAAATGTCTGGACGAAGATGCCACAAAATAATGTTTGAATCTCTGACTTATTTGGGAAACCAGGGACTGGAGATAAAACGTATTGTTTTGCTGTGCACCTTCAACACTCCTACACACATAATCACACACCCAGCATGCAACACTGATACCACTGATGTCCACACGTCCCGTTCTGTTCCTTTCTACAATATAGTTCATACTGATTCCAGTGTCTTCATTATCTGTAGTTTCTCTGTGGACATTCACTCCTTAAGGCTCTGCAGATATACGTATATAGTATATATACCTGATGGTAACCCAGACAGAAGCAAATCCATCTAACTGTACCTGCAGTGTTACAGCAGCATTTTATTCCATGTGTCCATCCAGGCAAATTGGTGCATCCAAATGTTATTAAAAAAACAACATATGTTGTCACTCATTTGTAATCATTCACAATAATGTTAATGTGGGGGTATTTTCCAAGTAGGCCACTGATTGGTCTAAATGCGCAGCGCTTTGAGCGGGCAACGCGCCGCGCATTGAGTGGGCCGTTCTGACAGTAACTCACGGGCCACTTTCTACCCCCAGCCCGCCCCTGTTTAGCTGAAGGTCCTCCCCCATTTCACATACACTTAACATTACTAATATACATTTATTTATTTATTAGTAATGTTAAGTGTTTTTTTAATCGTGTTATTTTTTTAAATAATGCATTATAGCCTACATATATTTTATTATATGATAAGATAAATGGCGCTCGTAGTGTTTTGCATGCGCGTCGTGCGGTTTTCACAGGCATTAGGAAACCTGTCTGCAGCGGGGGCGACGTCTTCTCACCTCAATTGCAAAATCACTCATATCAGAACTTCCCCCAACACACATGACCGCGATTTCAAGAAAAACACCCGTGTGGAATCATCAGCGGGTGACTTTAAAGACAGTAATTGACGCTCAGAATCTTCCTGTTGGCTCGGCTCCAGCCTGGAGCCGATGCCCCTCCGCGCGGATCAGAACGCGGCTCCCGTCTCCACGGGAGCGCGTGGCAATCAGGAGAAACGACACAGGCCTTATCAGCGCTTTGCTCAATCCGACATTGGGAGAGGAAATGTGGAGGCGCACCCCAGGGTGTCTGGTGAAAAAAAAAGGGTGGAGAGAAACTCTGAATCAACAGCCCTCTTATGCTTAATGTAGATCATACGCACATGGAAATACATTAATTGGCCCTCTTGGCCTTGCCGCCCCCCCACTCTAAAACACCATAGAATGAGATAACAGGAGCGTATACGCAATAATTGCCAATAAGTCATCCAGTATAATACACATACGTTGTGTTTGAATCCACTCACGACAAGGTCCGCTGGAGCCTCCTGGTCTGCATCTGTAATTATGTGACAGACTCACGCCGTCTCAGAGCCTGCGGGGACAGCTTCATGTTACCCTGGATCTTATGCTCCAAAAGGACCGCTTGTTTATTGACGCATAATGTAGCGCAGGTTAAGCGTCATTACACACTAAAAAAAGGTTGGGTTAAAAATAACCCAATTCGGGTTGTTTTATAACTCAATCGCTGGGTCACTATTGCACCAACTCGGCATATGCGCACAGCCGTGCGTCCTGGCGCCTTTCATCCACCGCAGCTGCAACAAGTAGATCCGAGACTGACGTTGTGAAGTCCTGAGGTGGATTTTAATTATCGTGAGGCCAAGACCCACCAGAATGAATGCAAGGCGTTTTTGGAGTGGTGTCACTGTCTATTTTTGCGCTTCTTTTGTCCCATTATTATTTATTTATTTTTTTACATCAAGGCGTTGCATTTAATGCCTTCCACATATTTTACATTCAGGTGTAAATCAGCTCACTCTCCCATGTAACAATGCACCGAACAGACACTACTGGAGGCCGGCTCGGCCTGGATGTGCACGCTCACTATCAGGACAGCACCCATCAGTGCACGTGGGGCAGGAAATCAAAGCGCCACATGCCGAGGCTCGATTAGACGCCGCACGGTGACCGTTGCATCCGGACGCCGTGTTGGTGCAGATATGAGGCCCGAGAAGGATGGAAGCAGGCGGAGCCTTGAGGCCGGCGCAGACGGTTCATGGTGATCTGCGGCATCCTGCCCCGACGCATGAAAAAAAACTAATTATAAAGTATTACTTATAAAAAAAAATGCTAATAAAATAAATTTCAATGTAAATAACACTAATTATAGGTTAACAAGAGTTTGTAAAACGAAAATACTTTTAGTAATTAAAATGACTCTTGCTTTTCATTGAAACTCAACCGTGAAAACATTTGAAACCACCAAATGAAACCAATCCTACAGAGTCTTAGGTATTTTAATAAAAATAGTATTCCAAATTTAGGTAGTTATGAAATGTGTAATCAAGATTAAAGGCATCATGAGGCGACAGAAATGGCGGCCTTTGGCAGCAGGATCATAAATGAGTCGAGCTGAAGGTTCTCCCAAAGTTCCTCGGTTTTACAAGCAGCCTGAAATAATGTGAACAAAATGTCCCCGAATGCATTTTCAAAATGTCAAGCATCCCGTACCGTATGAATACAAAAGTACCCGCTGTCTGGGTCCAGCCCTTTTAATCCACCCACTCCGCTGAGATGAAACCTCTGTCTGATATCAGGCAAAGCACTTTGACCATCACAGCTATAGACTTTACAAATAACCCTTTAGAATCTGCAGCAGCAGCGATTTGGTGATAACTGACTTTTTTTTAAATGTGGTTTCTGCACAATTGATTAGCAGTTGAGGCTCAGCTTTAAAAACCGCGAGAAATCACTTCCTGAAAGCAGTCAATCTTAAGAAGAATCTTCGCAGAGGAAGGCGAGCGTGGAGACTCAGCTCTACGTCATCGGAGCACTGAGGAAGCCAGGGGCAGAAGTCTGCTGCCTTCAACACGATCACCAAAAATCATTCAGCCAAGTTTAATAAACGGTTTTATTGTGAACTCTTCACACTCAGACGCACGCACACATACATACATACATACGCGCACACATACACACACACATTTAGTCTGTTTAGTGTGCCATCTGCTCCATAGTGTTGCCATGCATGTCCTCACCGCACTGCAGACTCAAAAAGTGCCATAAAGTGTTCTTCTCCCATCGAACAACACTCGCTCATCGGCGGGACATTATCACCACCAACTCAAAAGTCACAGTCCTTTCCGTTTCCCCGACCAGACCACAGCGTGCAGGAGTTAGTGTTCGATACAGACATTCGGAGGAAATGAAAGGTCGTACACACACACACACCATGTGTGTGTCGGGGGGGGGGGGGGGGGTCCTCGCTGCATGAAATGGAGTGGGATGGCCTGTGGACGAGCACGATGCAGAAGGTAGCGCTTCCTTTGGTAACCCGCGACGACTCTCCATTCCTCCCCAGTTTGTGTCAAAGTGTACGGTGTTGTTTTCTCCCAGTTTGAGTTTCCTCGGACCACCATCCATCCCCGTGCAAAAGGTGTGACCCACCAACCGCCTGCCGATCTGCCCGCCGCGGGGCGCCTTTTGAAAATAAAGCTGGATTCTTTCAGGGGAGCCGATGCAACGGCCACATAAACCTGCCGCCCCCCCCCCCTCCCCTTCCTGCATGGAGAATGAAAAACAGCAACTCTCCTCACGGGGACATTTGTGTTACCACATTAAACTAACCCATCCGTCCCTTTTTTTCTGCGTCTTACTGTATATTCTACACATCAGATATGCAACAGATACATGGTTTCAAGTTCAAAAAGGAATTGAAAAACACCAAACAAGTACACATTTACATATCTACAGGTATAGACGTTAAACTGGTTGTAGGCATGCGCGCGTGCTAAGGCCACGTCGTCAACACAGGCAGCTTTGATATTGGCTGTTGACCAAGACAATCGATACACACACACAGGACGCCTTAACAATTCTGCCTCTGCATCATGGACACTTTGTAGTAACGGAATCAATGCGTGTTTAATGTCCATTTATAAAACGCTTTAAAAATATAAAAACACAGTTAAGTGCGCAGTATGACATGAAAGGTCTTTGTGTGTGTTGTACCTACAGGAGGGCGTTAAGAGATTGATACGCGCCGCAATACGAAAGACACCAAAGGTCTGTAAACAACGCACAACAAGTGTTTGCTGCCCGCAGAGAGGAAACAAAAGGGGAGGTAAACAAAACAAACTAAATCCAGAAGTATGATTCTCTCGACATGAAATGATGATGCATTTCCCCCCTGAAACTCAGAGCTTCTCCTCTGAAATGGCTGCTAGGAAACGCCTCCTCCTCCTCAGCGAGCGCCGGGCGCCCTTGGCCCCGCCTCTCGGCGGCCGCTCGTCACACGGTGGTGGACTTGTGGCTGCCGCTCGGGGGTACAGTGAGCCGCAGGGACTCCTCGTCTTCCTCATCGTCGTCGTCGTCCTCCTCCTCCTCGCTGTCCGTGTCCCCGAGGTTGGCGGGCAGCCGGATCCGGACCCTGCTCCTCTGCTGGGTCTCCTGCAGGCTCGGGCCCTTGACGCCGTCTTCATCTGAGGACTGGTAGGGTCCCGTGGTCCCCCCACGTAGTGATTGACGATGTGGATCCCATCAAAAGTGGGCTGACTGGGCCGTCCTCGCTGTCCTTTTAAGCAGCGAATCTGTGAGAGCGGGCAATGGGAGCGTTAGGACGCGAACGGAGACAGAGCGCGGTAAAACGAGGACTGTGTGATGCGACGTGTACGAACACCACATGGTTCACAAACTCAACATGCAGGCGTAGATTTGACCACAAACAATGTCCTTCATAGGACGCGTTGTATCCCAACACTACAGGCCAGTTTACCCAGCGTACAGATCGTATTCCAGTATACAATGAATAGATATCATTCATTCATCACTAACAGGAGATGGAGAAACGGACCAGCAAAGATGCACCGTATGTTATTACGAATTATTTTACATCCCGCCATTTCTGCCGGTATGAGAATGCAGTACAGATTTGGGCCAGAGCTTTTGTGAAATTGTTTCAGTCTTGGATTTTTTCCCCATAAAAGCTCTGAGCAGTGTCTGTTCTCAGCTGATAAATAATGTGTCCTCATCCTGTCTTTTACTCCATTGATGAGGCGCAAATCTCCTCTTTATTGGGCAAGTCAAAATGAGGTTAAGGGTACATCACCTACTTCCCGTTGCACCGAGGCAGAAGGGGCCGCGCCACTTTGTGGGGGATAGGTAAAAACACACATCGCTGTTGAACTGCAGCTGTGGTGGATGTGGTCACCCCCCCGCCCCCTTTCATCAGCTACACGGGGGAGCAATGAGACTCTATTCTAGCTGCACTAACTGTGCAAAGATGGGACTCTCCGGTTGGTCTTTTTTTTTTTTAACAGGATGTTTGGTGAGTAACAAATAAGTGAAATGGTGAGAACCAACTGGCTGGTTTGACCCGCTGTTGGCCCTCGCCTCTCTAAACCTGTGCGGTGGAAACACTCCGGAAGACCCCCCTAAGTGGGAGCGACGCGATGGTCGGCAGAATGATTGTGACACATCTGCACCAACTCACCTGGGTCGGTCTGCCCGGCAACAGTCAGGCATGTGGGTAGAGAGGCATTCAGAGCACGAGACAAACACAACCAGCCCACGTTCACCTGCGGCCCTCTAAGCGCGGCGGCCTTCCTGTTGTTGCCATTCAGGGAAAAGGAAGCCGGGATCTAAACGACACCCGAGTGGCCGCAGTCACAGATTTCCGCAATATGTTGCAGGTTTTGAACCCAAATGGCCACGTGAGGACGACGGCGGCACTTGAGCCACCACTCGCTACTTTCGGATTTGGCTTCGCTGCAGAGACTGGCGTTGGTGTGATTCATAGCAGGCCGCCCCAAAACCAGAGCGACCACAAGGCAGAAGCCGAGCGAGACGGCGGGCAACTGTGACTGCGACTGTGAAGACTGGAGTAAATAACGAGGTCATCAGTCTGCGTTAAAAGAAACATCTTTTTGGCATTGTAGCTGCATCACACACAGCGGGGACTTGAATAATCATGGACTCTATCTACATTGGTGTATATCACGGCTGTGCTCGGCAATCAGCGGGGTGAAAGACTCATGCGTTGTGAACTCTGCACAGGAAGTCTCCGGGTGTAGCTAACACTTCTACTGTTAGCATCAAAGCAACCAGCACTGAGGCAGAGTTGTTGTTATACTACTGAGGGAGCCGATGCAAGTCTCACCTCGTCTTTTAGCTCTGCTATCTGGTCTTTCAGGTCGTGGATGTACTGGCTCGAGTCCGTGTGGTTCAGTTGGCCTTGGACCTTTCCTTCTTCTTTCTGTTAGGAGAGGAGACAAGGGCCTAAAGATGAGGCAGGTGGAGACACATTTCAGAGGTTAAACCTGGCACATGATAAGAGTCAGCCAGGGTTTAGATGTTGTAGCGGAGGTACAGGTACGGGAGCCCCACTGTTCAAAAACAAAAGCAGCCCGGCAGAGTGACAGGTGTCAGGAGGAGAACACAAAAACAGTGTCATGTGTGCTATATTTCCCCCCGGGGCCCAAGGGATGCGGCACGCTGTTAGCTTTAGCAGTTAAACAGCCCATGTGATGTTTACCTTCCTCAGTGAAGACATCTGCAGGCGTTGGAGACAAACACGCAGTCTATTTCAAACCTCAATCGCACCCATGAACATGGCCGTTTTCTACAGGGAGACCGGCTCAAACCACAGGCTGCAGCACGACAACACGGGCAAAGAAAAGAGAAAAAAGGGAAGAATTGTGTCCACAGCCGAGAGGGGACACAGAGTCTACTCTGGCTGGCCAACACCCTAAAAATACTGATGGGGGCTTTTGATTCCTGCGGTGGGGGCGAACATGGCAGGTCCCAGTAGGCTTTTTTTTTTTTCCCCCCGAGAGAAGGATTTCAAAAAGCAATGTTTTTTCGAGGTGTTGTCCCTCCAAAAAGCCTGCGCCAATGAGGCGCAGGCGGTTGCAGAGACTTCCTCGCGTTCAGCTGCGTGGATCGACAGGTGTCAGGAACCAACGTCAGGCTCCAACAGACGGAGGAATAGAGGGAACGGCCGGCGGGTTAAAGAAAATCTGTTGATTTTGTTTACCGAAAACCAACAGCAGTGAACTGAGCAGAGGACTTTCTGTCACAAACATCCTCATCATGTCAAATCATGAGGCGCAAACTAAAAAGCACACCTCTGCCACCTATACCTCCAACGGGTAGCACTTTAGTAGCGATTAAGATGGCACTTCTTTCTTAAAGAGATTGAATGCAAGTTGAATGCACTTATACTGAAAGTTGCTTTGGACAAGTCGTCATAGCCATGTTTCAGTTTCAACATTCATGTCACATTTATTTCTACACTTTCTGTGCACCTCCGTTGTTGTGGCAACGGGAAGCTTATTTTGAATCTGCAAAGACGTCAGTGAAGGATGTGTGAAAATGTGCTACTTAAGATAGTTAGATTTGTAGTGTGATTAAACTTCCAATAGATCAATGCCGCTAAATAAAGACCAGAAACCACCTGCATGGAAATACCCTTCCAAGTGATCTTTATAGAATTTGTGATCATAGCACAGATGTGTAAGTGGGTTGACTTTTTTTTAATAGCAGATTTAACAAGTGAGATGAACGACTTAAGATTTCAATTTTTTTCGTGAAGCCCAAATTTGAAAAATCACAAACTTTTGATTTTGAATGTCTTGACGCGAGGATGTCCCTCACGATACGAAGACAAAATGTCCCGTTTGGTTGGCGCATCTGCTTTGACACGAGAAACCACTTCCTACCAGCCCAGAGACTCTGGAGTTTAGCACAGGCCACGGCTGTGATAGCGAAAGAGTCCTACACCTAAACCTCGACACATCTTAGTTTCGGCCAGCGAATGTTTTCCACCCATTCGCATCTCTTGATTAAATCTCTGCGTGATCTTCCGTGTTGCTATTGAAGGTCAATGAGGATCACAAGGTGACCTCTCACCTCAGGACGCAGCCTGCAGATGTTCACCGCCAACAAGCGTCCCACCATCGCTGACAAGGAAGGCAAGAAGCACATCTATTTCTCGCTTTTCTTCGTTTTTTTTTCTTTTAAATGAAACGGTTCTTACCCACAACTTATTGAGCAAGTAACCAAACCACAGACCAAGATGCCAACGAAGAAAACAGTGATTTAGGCTCAGAACGTTTGAGCTTCCCCTGTGACGATGTAAAGTGATCATTGGATGAAGTAAAAAGGGGAAATAAATGAAGTGCAATGCTCATTGACGGATCATTATGCGGATTCTGAAAGGCACGAGGGCGGTAGTGGCGATTCCAGTGTTGATGCACGATTCCGTAGTAACAAAACCTCAGACCACAGTGTGTGTGTGTGTGCGTGTGTGTGTGTGTGTCTCAGAAGGGGACGAGGGGGAGGGTTTTTTGTAAGTGTCATACTTATAAATAGTCTACAGGTTAAGAAGTACAACGGTACTCTACAAAAACCACTTCCCCTGGCAGTGTCTTTCCAATAGAGCCCCCCACCCCTCCAAGTAATATTACAGACAGGGTTTTTCTACATTGTCATTCTTTGTCCTTCTACACCAGCCTCTACTTATAGGGGTCCACAAGGACACTTCGAGGTGTCAACATCTACGTTATTAAACCACTATCTTCTTTACGACTATCAATTATTGCGATAATGAAGATATAAATATTATATTTCTTTGACGTTTACTTGTTATTTTCTTTCTTCCATGCAGCCTCTCAGCCCGACCCCACGTCAAAGGGATGATTTCCAACAGCCTTCACACACATGGAAGACCACAAGGGTGCAAAACACAGAGCAGACAAAGAAAAGAACGACACAAACAGTCGCGTCTGCCTGTTGCTGCACAGCTGTGCTCGTTGATCCCACAAACAAGCGTGTGTGTATTATTGGGTTTTTTTGGGGGGACAACTGTATCAATCAGAACTGCAGAGTGTCGGCAGTGTCAGAATCTATAAACTCAATCGATCTTAATATCATCAAATATTACATTCGGTTTATTTGATCGGGTTTGCAGGACAAAAAGATATATGGTTTTGATATGAAAAAAAGTATATGGTTAAATTGGTCAAGAAAATGCCAGGAATGTGATCTCAGGAGGAGAGAAGATGATCACTTTAAAGTCTCACCTTCAGGTTTTGGAAAACTTCTGTTAGAGGTGAGTTTTCACTAAACTGAAAGTTCTCTCCTCCCGTCTGCTGCTCACTGTGCATGACTATCTGCTGTGCTTCTTTACATATGAACAAGCAATCATAGTTAGAAGAACCATGAAATAACTCTTAATGACTCACTGAGTGCGGCTTGATCAGATTTAATTTAAACCGGGGTTTCCTTGGCAACAGAAGCAAGCTACACTATCAGATTAAAATGACTTCCCCATTTCAAATGAACTAGAGAAGCGCAGAACAAACCACAAAAAGAAAAATCTTTCTTGTCTAACTTAGATAATGATATGTACGTAGGTGTCACTAAGAAACACGCTGACAATCTAAAAGTCTCCTTTGAAAAGCAAGAATACCTCATACACAATTATTTCTGGATCGCTGTCTATGGCTGGGGGAACTTTAAATGTGTTAATCTGGTTTGCGAAGGAGTTGAGGAAATCAAAAGATGACATGACAGACAACCACAACAACGAGTGGGCCGGGACTTCACCTGAATCTCTAGCTCGGAGATCTGCTGCTGGAGCTCAGCCATTGCAGCAATGTTGTCTGCCTCCCGCAGCCTCACTGCCATCACCTCCTCCTTACTCTGCAGAACAACAGAAAAGAGCTCAACACGGTTCTGACTCAGCCCTGTGGTACGAAAGCAAGTGGCGTACGACATTTGAGTATTTTCTATTGGTTGTATCTCGCAGCATCTGCACACCCACCAGAAGCAGTCAAAATACGATCACATAACGAGACACCTCAAGCACTTGAATGCACATTATATAGTCAAGCTGGAGAGAAACGCAGACACGTATTTTACACAATAATACAATACTTTGGATTGATGTAGGTGTACCTTGCACTCTAGCTCAGCTTGTCTACGCTTGATCTCCTGCAGTTGCCCATGCAGGTCTTTATTTTGCAGCGTCAGCGTTTGCACACACTCCTGGAGACAGCGACTCTCCTGCTCCGCCCGCCGCAGCTGGTTACTGTGGATCTGATTCTGTGTGAGCAGTTTTTAACAAAAAAAGATTAATACATAGATATTTTTTTACTTTGATAGACAATCAATTGCATCGAAAAATTGAAGATATACAAAATTTAAAGATGAGAACTTTGTTGGTAACATGACTGCTGCCCTCTGGAGGATACTGAATGACAATACAGGTAGAGAAACCTGTACACACTTTAATTTCCTTCCGATTATTGCCATTTTAAGGCAAGAAAAGAATTTGAAAAAGCAGGAAAAAAACAGTGATCAAAAGAATTATTCAGCTTTATGTGGTTCACTAGGAAGCGGATGTGACGTCTGACCTGCGTCTCCTGCTCCAGCATCCTCTGCCGCGTCTCCCTCAGCTCTGCCTGCGCCTCGGCCTCACGTAGCCTCACGCTCATCAGCTCGTCCTGCAGCTCGCACAGCGTATTCTTCTTGGGGCCGTCCTTCCAGCGACCAGCGGTGCGTGCCATGTGACGCTGGGCAGAGGCATTACGCTCCGTCACATTTCCATTACTTATTAAAACGGGTGCACTGCCCTTTTCACTGACATTGGACACGTCTGCGTTCCAGACAGCAAACCTTTTAGATTTAAATATGTAGACTTTCTTGATCCAACTGTGTCACATGTTTGAGAAGTCAGGTAGTTAGGTGCTCCTCTATACATGTTGATTCAGGAGCCTCCTACCCATGATTGAGCACATCGGCGTCCTATACTCATCTTCGAGTGTGTGCGGCTGCTTTCCTTTACAACAGAAATGCGGTATCGATGTGTTGGCGCTCACCTGCCAGTGATCCTCCAGGTCTCTGACTTGCTGCCTCAGCTCTTTCAGGCCGGTCAGAGCCTCCACCTCTCTCAGCTTCACGCAGATCAGCTCGTCTTGTAGACGTGCCACATTGGTATCATCAGGTAGCGACGTGTTCCTCTAAACAAGGCGTGTACCAATTAAATGTTTTGAAGCAGTAGGTTTACAGCAATGCAGCAAGGCCACACAATAGCACCGTACTTTAGCGGATATTAGGCAGTACATTGTGTACTGGAGCTACTCACCTTTTCTATATCCAAGATCTTGTCCTGCATCTCCTTGAGGGCGCACTGAGACTCCGCCTCCTTCAGCCGGGCCTGCACCAGCTCTCTCTCCAGCTGCAGGACGGACTCCTCAGAGTACCGAGGGGCCCCCTTCTATGACAGGACATGTTTGTGAGCACTGAGGGCAAGGCAGAGCTACACATGCCCCAACGTTGGCATTTAATGATGAACTAAATACTTATGTATCCAGGACCAGTCCATTGTACATATTCTATGGCTGGTTAGATAATAACACACCGCCTTTCAGTGGTGAGTAAATCATATATGGATACATTGTAATAAACAAGTGTTTAATGCAGAGGATTAAAAAAGACTATCATGTAGTTAATTCTCAGACTTTCCCCAGCAAAAATACAGGTCTCCGCTACCTAGAAGAGGACCTTCATTGCAGCGGGCACCAAGCATTTTCCCTTTCACTTAACATAAATAATTCATGACTGCTCATTGAGAAGCAACACGGCAAATTATGTAAAACATTGTAACGCTTGCACATTATCATCTGTAAAGAAACCATCAATAATTGAGGGCTCGACAGATATGCAACCAGAGAACACTGTGAACAGGGTGCCATGTGTGAAATGTACCAGCCTGACAGACAACTGCTTACATATTCAGGAATGCATTTCTGAGAATGCAGTTGGACAGTAAGGAGGCTGAGCCCTGTAGTACTCCGTGTCCCAATTTGAACTCATGCATGCCAAAACAGATCATTACCCAAAGCCGAAGTGCAAAGTGAGAAAAGCCCTTCTCTGCCACCGCTGTGGTTTTCGTTGCTAGGCAATGTGTGTCGACCGGGCAGGTAACCGTGACACAGTCGCGAAACCAGTTTCTTTCGGGCCCAGGTGTCTACCGCACCACGTCATCTTGAACAGGTCAGCCGGAGCTTTCGGCCCAACACAAACTGACCCGGGGGAAACATTCCCAGACTCAAAAGTCTCAGCTCCTGTCACGCACTGGGTGGGACCCGAGCCAGTGCGCGCTGCCAGCTGGGGACTCGGCGGCCCTCCTTACCGCTTGCGGCTGATGGAGCTGCCTGGTGGTTGCCTTGGCCTGCTCCAGCTGAGCACCGGCCTCCTCGCTCTGCTGTTTGAGTGTGGCCAGCTCCCGCTTGACCAGGTACAGCTCCTCTGCCTCCTGAGCCCGAGTCACTTGTCCCTTGATATAACCAACCGAGGAGGAGTGGCGTGAGCACGACAGAGAAGGGGAAACGAGGGGGGCGGGATGGATGGGCGAATCAAGAGGAGAAGATGAGGGATTGGATGTGCATGCTTAACTCTAGTAACTATTCCTTTGCCGTCTTCAGCATCATTTGCGATCATCTCGCTTCTTCCGTTTCATGCACTCATTCAACAATGTTATCGGTTAGCACAAGCCAACCTTAATTTGGAGAATCATTAGATTACGCATCATTGTACTAATCATGAGCATGCAATGCCAACAGAGAAGGAAGAAGGAAGTGGCAACATGAGGAACAGAGAAGAGAGAAAATGAGAAATATACCTGGATCAATCTATCTGCCAAGGAAGCACTTTCCTACAAAACAGAAATATCAACAAGAGACAGCAGAGGGAGACAATCCAGAGGACAGATTAAAGCACACAACAACAAAAGAGCAATTGATTGTTTACGAGAAGAGACGCAATGTTCATTTCCCATCCAGAAATATCTGTCTGACCGTAGAACCATTTTTTATGTTCAGGGGTAGAAAAGGAACATTGCATGCAGGTGTGGTGAAAAAAAAAGGTGCAAATGAGCCGGAGGCGGTGCAGATAACAGTGACGGGTTTCAGACAGGAAGAAGCCAGAGAGTGGAACTACTGCACAACATCGTTGAGAGGTTAGGGGTTGTTTAACTGAGCAGAAGCTGTGAACTTTGACGAGGTCCGTGGGGAGTCACGTGACAGAGATGCGTCAGAGAGCAGCGGCCCTGAGCTGGATGCAAGTAACAGACTCCTCTAGACCACAGTGGTCCTCCCTGCAGGCAAACACGGCGCAGCCCTTGCTATACATGGCGGACCTCATGCATGGTGGCTTAACCTGACGGCGCTCATTCAAAAAGAGACACGAAAAGGTCGCAGCGTGACACAAGCGGTGCAACGTGGCATGCGGTGCTTTGCGTGGACTTGGACAGCATCAAGCCATAGACACTCCCGCGTCCCGAGCGGGATCGTTAAAAGGATCGGCATCAGTTAGTCTCTGTTATTTGAGCCACACAACTCCGCTTCCGATATGTCTGCAAATCACATAATGAACCATACTGCATCAGCCAAACCGCTGATGGTTTACCATGGAAGAAGACTTTAAACAACAGAGCCCAGTTAGTGTAGGACAAGCCTCCTTCATTAAGAAGAGATGCGTGACGCATGAGCAGACACAGCTGGATGGGGTTATCTAATGTCTGAGTGGCGGAGCACCTGGGACGGACACTCACTTTCTCTAGCGTGTCTATCCTCTGCTTCAGAAGACGGTTCTCCGTCCGCAACCTCTGCAAAAAACAGGAAGAAAAGAAAAATCACGTGAAACAAAAAAGGCAGAGTGGAGCCTTAGAGCATTTCTTTAAACCTCAGACAGCCTCCACGCACCTTTATCTCCACCTGCTCCTCCATCTCTTTAGTTTTGATTGTAGTGTATTCTTTCTCTAACCTGGAGAAAAATATCAGCGAACACAAGAGCGTTAGCGGCGACTGATGAAATTAGGACGGGATAGAAACGGTCTTTAGTGGGATGGGAGTACTGAAAGAAAATAGAAACGCGAACCAGAACAAAAATCATTTAACTGCTGCAAGAGATGATACATTTGTTTACCAGGCAAACAACAAGATGACAAAGATATTTGTAGGTTTCATAGCCTCAATCAGGAAGTACGGTTGCAACAACATCCCAGGTTTGATTCCATAAGTGGGACCGTTGCACCAAAACTATTTAACAAATGATCTTTCAACATCCTAAAGCGAGGAGAGGATACCTGGCTGACATGGCTGAAATATTTTATAAACAATTGTAAGGCAACAGTTTTGTAACAAAGGATTAATAATAAAATGAAGGATAAGTATCCAGTTCTGTTAAAATCGGCGAGCCGAGCCAAGATGTGCATTTTATCGAGGGTCTCGTACACAAATGAATGCAGTAGCAGAGTGGGAGGTCGCTCGGTGTTGATCAACTCAAAGCTGCACTTACTTCTTCATCTTCTTGCCGTTGTATTTAACTTGATAAGCAGCCTGGATGACTTTATCCGGTCCGCTGTCCAACTGGTGAGGGATGACTCTCTGGAAGTGCTGGAGAACAATAATGAAATGGGATATGTGCTGCACAAACACGTAGACCAGCTACTTTCACACCACCATGCCGCCTGCTCTTGGCCAGACATCAAAGTGCATGAGTGAACATGTAGGTACGTGTCACTACTATCTGGGTGTGCTGGCGGTTCGGGGACCAGGAATCTGAGCTGCTGGAATGTTCTGAGGCTGATGTACCTGTAACATTCCCTCCATGTCCAGCTGGATGAGTTCGGTTTGGTTCATCTGGAGGATGGCCAGCCCAACGCGGAACACTATCTCCAGACCCTGAAGAGGGAGATCAACAGTAATCACTGAGGACTCTTCTTTTGAAAGAAGAAAAAAAAAAAAGTGTTCAGTTTTTTTTTTTATTTTAAAAGGAGATGGAGGATTTACAGTTTGTTACAACAGGTCTCAAGGGAGCAAAAACGCAACACACAGCCACTTTAAAATGTGGAATGGAGTTTTGGCATGATGAGGTGGCGCTGCTCTGCAGGCGAGGTGGATACACTCCTCTGTCCCGCACCCTGCAGGTGTGTCCTACGACGAGCAGTGAGGAACGTATCTGCTGGCTGGCGACAGTCTGTGGATGTCGATGTTCTTTTTTTGTGTTGCTTATCAAGACAAATTTCTTTCAGGACAATAAAGTCTATCTTTTTCAGTTCTCCAGCAGATGGTGCTAACGGGTAACCTGTACATGACAGGAAACCACCAGGGTTTACTGATCTTTTTTTAGATTTCAATCAGAAGCCATTTATTTCCATGTATGTTATACATAGAGGAATTTAACTTGGTACAAATGTCCTTTAATTTCGTCTGCAGCTATCGGGCACAGGGAGAGCTCCTACGTTGCATGATAATGCTCAACCGTGAACACAAAAGCACAATGAAGCCAAAAAACACAACGACGTGCAGAGACTAATTCCTTACAGAATGGTGAATATACGCAGACATACATTATAATTAAATGTGTGTGGTTGCTCCAGCTACAATTTTGGTTAATCTGACCTCACACATGAAGATGTCAAAGATCCTCGTGGCGACGGGCAGAGGGAAGGAGGTGAGGAAGATGGTGAGGAACCAGGAGGAGGCATACATGGAGGTGTGAAAGCTCTGAGCCTGGAAATGGATGTGCAGATCTGGGAGTTGTTCCTGCGTGGCAAAAAAACAATAACATGGATTCACATTATTGCCACTGTACCAGGTAGGAAAGGCCAAAGATCTTAGATATCTCGCCACCGTGGCAGATATACTGTATTGCATCATCTTAGGAATTGCGGTTTGAAAATAAATTTCCTAAATTGAGCCCGGTACAACTCGCTCGATGTTTATAATTCTGAAGCAGACAAAAACCTTAAGTCGGTGATAGAAATGTTCAGACACGCAATACAGTCCCTGCGCTATACATGAGCACTGTCATCAGCAAACCAAGTAGGAGGTTCCTACCTGAATCATGTACTCAAACTGGTACATGCAGAGTCCCAGCTCGGCCATGCTGGGCTTGAAGAGCTCTCGTAATCTGTAGTCCTGCATCAACTTCACAAACACGCAGAAGGCCTCCTCTTCTGGCATCTAGGAGAAATAACACCACCCCCAGGATGAAATCAAACCTCAAACTGTTATTCTCTAAAACATGTTTTCTGGCAGCTGGTGAATCAGTGGGTTTTTCATGCACGTCTGTGTGTTATTTTGCCTAAGTGTTTGTGTGTGTTGAAGATTGGTCATTACCTGCATGAGCAGCAGTCCTACAATGAATGCACTCCCCTGACAATAGCCGACCTCGCGGTCAACCAGGGAATACGCCTGAGGTAAGAGACGAGCTTTGGATGAGTCTCAGTGATTGCTGTACACCAGTCATCATGCAGTTACTGTACTCACACGATTTTTCTCTTCCTTACTAAGACTTAAACGCCGTCATCTGTACACACACTTAGCATTTAACTGCTGCTCAAACACAAATGGCGACCTGCCTTCATGACGTTGAAGAGCACTTCCTGGCCCAGGCTGTCCTTTTCCTTGAAGAACTCGTGTTCGGGGTAAGTGCGCGCGATGTCCCTGCGAATCAGCTTCTCACAGGGCGACGTCATCTTCAGGAGTTCCGAGTACTGATCCTTGATGGGCATATTCTGCGCGTTGCACAACAATTGCCACACGATCGCCCGAAAGTGGTGAGGGATCCCTCTCCTGACGAGATCCTGGGGAAAAGAGCAAAGGGTAGATGCTTTGTGTATTACTTAGGAGGAATTCAAAAAGAGCATTTGGCAGTCGTACATCTTCATTTGTGATCGTGAATAAAACCCATGGGCTTAATGCGGAGAAGGAGAACAGACACTTCCTTACAACAGGATACAGCCATGCCGTGCTTTGTGCTCTCCGTCTATCGTCTCATTTCAGCACAGAGTGCATCTCACTGCCACTTCCACTGACAAATACAATCTCGTCAGCGAGGCACTTTGTTTTCATCTATTACTGCCGATGTAATTTGATTGAGAAATTTCCTGTGCTGACAGGGAACACTGTTTTTTGTTTGCGGGTGTGTGTGTGTGTGTGTGTGTGCATCTGCTCGGTCCAGGGTGCATCTGGAGCAGAGGTCCGCCCACACTGGCTTTCTGCAGGGGATCCCTCTTCGGAGGCCGGACAAGACAAATCCAGCTCTGTGTGGGAACAAAGCGCCTTCTCATGTCTTCACTGTGTCCGAGGCGCTCCACTACGTTAACCTCCTCTTTGTGTGTCCCGCTCAACGCGAACATCGCTGCTTTATTCACCAAATGAAATAGATTTCTCGGCACTAGTAGGTATACAAACATACAAACAACATTTGCTGACACATGCAAAAAAGTGCTTTGTACAACGGAATCTTGGTCTGGAAGCAAAGGGGAAGAGGCCGTACATTTTGTGGAGGCCTCAGCAGCATGTGCACTGGTGGTGTGCACCGCTTCCTCATTCCTCAGAAAGCCTGCCCAGGCAGAACATGTTGCCTCCATTTGCATCAACCCTTTTGCATGTAAACCGATGAAAAATCGCTGATGATGAGTAAGAGTTCCTGGATGCATGCTCATTACAGGAGAGGTAAAATGTATCCAGGAATGTTTATGACATGACCTCGGTGACCCAGTGGCTGCACTAAGCGGCTGTACATTACAAAACTACAAGTACCATGCAGGGTTTTCTATGGTCACGCTGTCCATGCACAGTTCAAACCAAACCGGCCACTGATGGCGACCGGGAAAAGGATTATCACAAGACCGCCGAGAGCAACCGCGGATACAAGCCACCTAATATTAGCTTCAAATGTCAAGAACTAAAATAACCAGTTCAAGCGCAGTGTGCCCTAGAACAAAGATAGCCATGATTTCTGGACGCAGTAAACACTCACACAGATACGGCCATTGTGGCATTCGGAGCCTGATGTGGATGCTTGGGAAACGTGTGTATCATGAGTGGACCCAGATACCACTCTTGGACTTTCATGTAGGTTTGAAAGCCTCATGTTTCTGTTCATTTATTAATCGGTTAATCTAAAAGGGTTCACTCCCCCCGCCCCCCAATCTAGAATATCATTGGCGCTCGTGTTTCCTAATTTTGGACCTGGAATGCTTTGACTGATACTTAAAATTGTAGACATTCTCAAATGATAATCTCTGTAGGCAATTACAGCTCTTCTAATGTCTTTCTGTTGCACCACTCTCACCTTGAGCTGCTTCTCCTTCTTCTTGCGCACCTCCTCCCACTCGTTGACGATCCGTCCCCACAGGATCCAGGAGTCCTCCTCGAGGTGGGACAGGTTGGAGGAGGCGGAGGAGCTGGACACCAGGGAGGAGCCGCTGTTTCGCCTGGAGCCGTTCATGGAGCGCAGCGACTTGCTGTCAGTCTCCAGCAGCCTGTGGGGAAGACGTGTTTGGAGCGTTACCACTGCGTGCAGACACAACATTCCTCTTATAGTCTGAACCTGAATGCTACATGAATCACTCAAATGGTTTAAGTGTTTAGCAGATTCAGAATGAGTTATTGTTGTTGCTGTATTATCGTCAGCATCAGTAGAAACATCAAACTCAATCAATTCCACAACTACAGTTGTTGGAAAAACTGCAAATAATGTGTGTCATGATATCAATAAGGCTGTACTACTCAAGGTTTTTGCTACCCTCAGCTGATAAGACATCTTGTCAGCCGAGATTAGGGGCACTGGCCTCAGGGTGACATTCTGTCCCATGAGTGTCAGATGATGGTCAGATGTATGTGAAACAATCAGTCCTCTGTACGTGCGTAACCATCCCTGTGTTTTGATGCCCTACCTGCAGTATATATTCCTGCTCCAAAGAGGAAAACCTTTGAGTCAGCTTGGTACATAACTTGTATGTGTGTCCATCGGTTTCCTGTTTGCAAACATTAAATAACCTGTTTTGATGATTTTTCGCCGGTGTCGAGTGAGAATTTTTCTAACTACAATGTAACCATCTTATGAAACACGCGTGTTCATCTCCTGTGCAAAGCCATCTCATCAAAAAAAGAGCATCCCAGTGGCTTAGTGGGACCAGCCCATCCTTCCTGCTGCCCATTCTCCAACAAAGACAAAACAGCAGGTAAAGGCCAAAGCGCCAAACCACACGCACTGTTTCAAATCACAGCAGCTCAAACATAAGCGGTATAGCGCTAACCGTACCACGGCTCTGAGCCGCAGTCACAATACCATTATTAGGAAGCATTCAAGTACATTCTAAAATAAGGTATACAATGAACTATCATCCAAAACAAACACATTGAATGATGGCACAACCGGATAGTAAACATTTGTTGGGACTCCTTTGAGTAGCTTATAAAAATCTATAAACAGACTATAACGGGTCTGTTATAAAAGCAACTGCAAGTATTGGAGGTCAATAAATTAATTTGTGCATTGTGGGTGGTTTCTCAGCGGGTTCATCTATCCATTTATCACTCTTATTGCTCGGTCACTGGAGTTACAGAGTCAAGGATCAGTGTACGGACACGCAGAGGATGCTGGGACGGCCAACGTGTGCGGCACAGAGCAGCGCGTGACAGACACACAAAAGGCTCGGACATCTGATCTCGGAAAAAGAAAAAAAAAGAACAGAAGAAGAAACCTGGGCCTCTAAACCGGAGCCCGAGGCTTCTCCCAGAGCGGCTTGGGTTACAGCCCCGTGTGAGGAGGCCAGGAAGACGCCTGCAACGGAGCCGCTTCACTCGTATATCCAGAGGGGAACATCTGTAGCCAGAACGGGGCAGGAAGTTACAGCCGCCCGTCACCAACGGTCACAGACGCACGCCGCAGGGACGTGAACCTGAACATACTTGCACCTCTGCTAATAATTCACTAGTAGTCAAACAGAAGTCTGAAGCGTTACAAATACAGAGGAGCTACGCGCCGCAGTGATTTAGCGTTAGTCGAGCGGCACTTGCGGTGTTTAAAAGGAACGTTAGGAACAGAATTTTGAGCTCGGACGAAACGCCAAACCATTAGCTTCACATTCCTTTTTCAAAAGTGCGACCGTCACAATCTCACGACTACAATTTGCATGTATATGGCAGGAGAGCAAGCTTAGAATACCTTTAACCTTACCAAGATAAATTCATGGTGTACTCCTCATGAATGTGGTTTATTGTGGAGCTTGACAGGTTTACAGATGTGGAGCGATGAGCGCCGGACTCCCTCGTCTCTGTGTGACGCCAGCGAGCGAGCGCTCGAGCCTTTTATCTGCTCTGTAGGGTACAAAGGCCTCAGCGAGCACACAAACGCCTCGCGAGCAGGGGGCGGGATGCGCCGCCGTGTCTTTACCGTGCTTTTGGAAACCAAAGTCCTCCCTGCTGTTGTTGCACTTGTCCCGCCGACACAAACGAGATCACAATGTCCGCGCGTTTCGGCGGCTACCGGGATGTTGCTACGCCGGCGTTGCTAAGCGGATGGGAGTCTGCTCAGACCTTTGTGAGGGGGAATGAGGGAGAACCCCAAACTGGTCAGTTTTGATCGCCCGCATCACAAAGTGTGCGAGCGTTGTGCAGCCGGGGCTTCTGTGGGCGGAGCGATGAGTCACAGACCTCATCTTTGAACAGAGCATTGCTGTCCTCTCCGCTGGAGAGAACTGTGACACCGTCCCCGAGCTCTGAACTGAGCTCTTGGTCTCCATGCTGACACGAGGAGGGGGGCACTCGCCATGGGTGAGAGTCAGGGCAAAGGAGGAATTCACAAAACTGGCAAGAAAGGGCCGTTGCGTCGCCCTCCAGCAGCGTTTTAATCTGCTGGGGACAATGAGCATGTCAGGGACGCCACAGAGAAAACAACTCAGCCTGCTGAAGATTAGCACAGCTCAATAAGTTAAAATGCTAAGCAGAAACGAAGCGGCAAAGCCTCTTAACTTTTCACCAGTTTACCTTTAGAATTCAAATTTAGAGTCGCTTAAAATCACATTGCAAATTATCTCCTTAAGATTCAGTAACTCTTTCTCTGCCCTTCCAGAACCTGCAGATCTTAACCTTCACATATCTTCCCAGAGTACAAACCATAGATTGAGACTATAGCCCAAAGAAACAACACACACACCGAGGTCAAACACCTGAAATCAGCAAATAACTGACGGGCAGAACAGACTCAGCCTTCATGTGCAAAGAGCACACAACAACAACAAGCGCACAAACAAATTCAAGGACAAAAACTCTAAATCTTCTCAACATCGGCCAAACACCAAAATCCTCCAGAACTCCAGACAAATCAGTGATTTCTTTCTTTTGACAATATTTTCGTCAAAGCAGCTAGTTGGTAAGTCCCGACCTGTTGGCCGTCACTCTCCTGTGTGTGTGTGTGTGTGTGTGTGTGTGTGTGTGTAGATGTAATGAGTGCAGAAGGATTCTAACACTCAGTGTGGTGAGAGTGTGTCTACAAAACAAGGCAGAGAGGAAACAACAACATACAGCAAAGGTTTGAATACTGACATGAACACAACATAACTCAAAATATTTAAATATTTTAGGACAAACTCATTTGTTACAGTCAGTCTTTTCAGTCGTGTTAGAATAAACAATCAGAATAATTGATGTGAAGGGAGTGGAGGATAGCAGCCATTGTACTTCCTGAGGAAGTTTCACTTGCTGTCGGCGTGGCGGTGCAGTGGTATCACAGCCCTCGTAACCGGTGTCACACTCTGCAGCAGGAGGGTGAGAATCCACTCGGTCCTCCCTGTGTGCACAGCTGCTTCCCCCCGGCTCCCTTTAGCCAGGTCACGAAAGGTCACTTTGTTTTGCAAAGTTAAGAAAGCAAGGTTTAAGTCAAGCTTGGGACCGGCATGCAGCCGATTAGATAAACACGAGGCCCAGATCAGTACTCAGTCCGGCCGATGCTCGAAGCCCAGGTGTTGGTAGCGTGGATCCTAAAGTCGGATCAGCGCATCCATAGTTTGTATCGTTTTAAACAAATCCCCCACAACAGCTCTGCCAATCCGCCAGCCCGTGGAACCAACCACTGAAGACGTGGTGTCTGACCGGCACCACCTCCGCTCGGACCAAAACCCTGAACACTTTGAGGAGCGGGAGGAGCTAAATGACGGAGCGCTCACCTGTTCTGCTCCTCGAGCTTGGCGAGCAGCTGCACATCGTCGGGACTGAGCTGGCCCGGTGAGGCCGGGGAGAGGGCGGGCGAGGACAGCGACGTGGAGGAGGAGGTGGTCTGCAGGGACGTGGGCGTGGCCACCTGGCTAGCCATCTGACTGACCGTGTGGGACACAGAGTTCTTCACCCATGAGAGAGTAGAACTCAGCTTACCAGCAACCTTGTCTGTCGCCACCTGCAGAGGACGGAGACAAACTGTGAACATGTGACCCCCTCCAGTCTCCATTACTGGTTTGGTTGGAGCCGCGCTGAGAGTCGTCATGGTCTGGATGGTTCCAGCATCTGTGCTTTAAACTTGGCATTAGCAAATCAAAATCCCCCTTTCTAACACCAGGGTCAATGCTCTGAGGTTAACTTACTCATTTTGTCCCGTCTTTCGAGTGACGGATTGAGTGGCAACCGCTGATTATTCGGTCAGATGCTCTTTGCAGATTATCATCCTACATGAGCGACATTTCTTTACCTCTGACTCAGTCTGGTGTTTCACATGTAAACAGTCAGTGTTGCTGAGGAGGAGCCCACGTCACCTCCACACATACATCTGATTGCATGCTGTCACTCTGTAACAAGAACCTACAGCTGACATTTCACACACACACACACACACACACACACACACACACACACACACACACACACACACACACACACACACACACACACACACACACACACACACACACACACGCGCAGAGCTTCAGGCTACAGAGAGGAGGAGACAACCTGATGCACTGTAGTGAATGATACTCGTACCTGCTACTCCAAATAATCCCAAAGCATTGGTTTTCAGCTGCTCACAGACTCCATGAGGACAGACACGAATGGAAATATGAAGAAGCTCAAGGAAATGCACTCCTCAGACCTTCGGCCGGTTAAATGACGTAGTCATATGCTGATCACACAGCATCAGGGTCAAAGAGCACCACTAAAGATTACGAGATTTCTTAAAGTACCCTGCTGAAATCAGCGGGAGAGGGGAAGTGGATTTGTGCACTCAGCAAAAAAAAAACTCCACAGGAAGTCTGGATACTACAACGTTTCATGTATTTTAGAACGAGGAGTCATCTTTCTGTGAACGTCAGGTCTCCTGAGGGGCCGAATACACGGCATGGAAGGACATAAAAACCAAAGGAGACGGAGAAAGGGGTGGTGGTAAATGTGGAGATAAAAATGTGCAGCAGTACAGACTGTAGATATCGGAGCCACGGGTTATTGTTACCCTGCTGCCCTACAATGATGAAGATGAAGCCAGATATTGAGAAGTCTGTGCAGGCATAGGCAACAGGACGGAAATAGATTCAACCTTAATCAAAACAAGTGGCGGTCTACAGGGCGTCCCGGTGTGACGCGTATGAGACAAAAGCAGGTCCTCTTCCCCATTGATGTGTGTGAGGCATCAATGTTAAATAAAGGCACCACTGGCACGAAACGTAGTTCAGCAAATCATAGATCCGCTCTAGAGCAGATCTAAAGTTTAAAAAGAGCCTCAGGGCTCTCTAGCTGCCGGTGCGGAGAGAAATGGGAAGCTGGTCCACCAAACCTTCATTATTTTCATAACACCCTGTTCCATGAGCTTTCACTGCGGGGGGTGGAGGGGAGATATTTACTGACCTTCATCAGCCATGTGACATGAAAGGCAGCTAAACTAACAGATTCACATCCTGCAGCCGCATTCGAACGAGCCTGCAGAGACGACACCGTGGCCAGAGGAGCAACGCTCCCGTGGGAGGAGAGAGGATCACGGCAACATGCATGAGGATTCATTTCAATCCAGAAAAACTTGAACCCATTTTAATGAAGCAGCGACCTTTGTACTGGGTCACTGTAATTTAATTGCGGGGCTTTATTGGATAATGTTGAGATTAAAAAAAGGTTGGATTTCTCTTCATTTGATTACTTACATTTCCACTTTAACTAAACAACATTGCTGTCTTGAAATAGGGACGACAGATGATATCTCTAAGTCCCTGTAATGGAAATATAAGACCTCATTTGTAGTCAAGTACATTCACACAAACAACAAACAAGACGGCAACCTGGAATAGGCGGTTTGCATTTCCTGCAGTCCACTGCCTTTCACAGAACTAGGAAACAACACCAGCACCAGACATGTGCGCCCACAGCCACAATGTGAAAGTGTGTGTGTGTGTGTGTGTGTGTGTGCGCGCGCGCGGTGCACTCAGAAGTCAATCTCCACATTTTTCCATCTCAGCAGCAGAACAACAAAAGCAGTAACGAGAGTCCAGTTCATTAATACATGATTGGGATCACAAAGAAACTAATACAGTGACTAGATCCATCTGATGAATACAGGACATCTAATCCATCTTACAGACACACTTATATGATAATAATTCACTTCAAAAAAGGATAACAAAAATGATTTACGTTATTTGTGTTAAAACGTAATCACCAATATTGGTATATGGTTAACAAAATAAAAATCAATAAAGCAGAAAATCACAACCCCCAATTTTAAACCTGAATATTTCTTTGCATCACTGAGCACGACTGCAACCTTCCTCTGTGAAAGCAAAGAGGAACATGTGAGGGGTCTCGTTACAGAGAGAGGAGGTGAAGCTCTTATTAGGTCTGATTAATGATGCACCTATTGATAATTAACTCAAATGGCAGTGTGCCGTATTCACAGTTTTTCTACCCAAATGCTGAATTCAGTGAACAAAATATGAGCAGCAAACCAAATGTGCTTAGTCAGGCCAGGGGGGGGGGACGTGCTTGGAGAGACGTCCAGGTCCAATACATTCCTCCTGGCCGGCCCAGCGAGCTGAAGTAAGGCGTCCCCGCAAATCCTGCAGGACACCGTTTCTGCTTTTGTCTGCTGAACGACTCCCGGGGGCCCTGAGACGCAGCGCGCATCGCTAATAAAACCCAGCAGGGCGGGGGAGAACAACTTCGAGACGATTGGGGAACTGAGAAAGACCAACGGCATTACAGGCGCGTTGAAAAATGGGTGCATTCATCTCGCCGTGCCCGCTGTTACTTCCCTTTCATCGCCTGGCAGCGGGTAACAGCAAACCGGTCCCCCCCCCCAGCAGGGGGGTGGGGAGAGAGCGCGGCCGTCTTCGGGGAGACACGCCGTCCATGTTCCGTGTGGGGGTGTTAAAGCACACCGGCCTGACTTTAAGAGCTACGAAAGGCCTTTCGCTTCACTCGGAAGGAGGCTACACGTTGTCCCAGCGTACAATCGGCAGCGCAGTGCCCCCCCCCCCCCCCGGCTCTTATTCCACACTGCTGCAAAGCCTTATGGTGGTACACTCACCCACACGCGGGCTTTAGCCTTGGGAGAGCTTATTGGGTGTGTGAGTGACGGCTACGGTCACTGCAGCCCACCGACTGCTCGGCTTTGTGTGGGTGATGGAGGGACGGTCCTCCTCTGGGGGGGCGAGGGGGGGTGGGGCTTCATGGGCACCTCGACGAAGCAAAGCCTTCCCCACAGATGTAATGTGATAACGGAAATACATCTGTGTGTAATCAGCCAGGGTTGAATTGGCCGGACTAAGTCTTTGACCTCTCAGCTCCGGTCACAGGTGGAGCACGATGGAGAGCATCCGAGCTCAGAAACGACCAGGTTGGGGTTGAGGCATTTAGTAACAGTACAACTATAGCTTTACATTTAACAGCACGTTGTGGTTGCAATTCGTTTGACTCTTCATGTCAACAGGGACATTCCCCCCCCAGTTAAATGTCTCAACACGTCGTGGGACACACAGCCAAAACCAATGTGAGCGGTACCGTATTTTAAGTCATCGTGGAAAGAAAACTATTCTCCCACGACCCTGACATGGGACCACCAGACCCGGTTGGCTCACTGGGACACTTCGTGGCAGCCGATTAGCGGAGTGACGTTACTTTCTGCGTGTTTTAAGGGTGTTAAACGGTGTTAAACGCGATAAACCGCCCGCTTCCCCTCTGGGGCCTCAGCGCACAGTCGTTGCTGTAACTTGCAAGTCACTTCTGTTAATGTTAAAGTTAAATATATCCTTGGCTCGAATGCCCCCGCCGAGCACTTCAAATCATTGGCACACGAGCGACACGTCCGCCGGGCTCCGAAGCCGGAGGCCGCTCGCTCCGGCGGGACGCAGGAAACGTCCCGTTACGGGTCGCCGCTGGAAGTCACGGAGCCCGAATGGAGACGTTAGCATCCAAAGCGACGGCGTGCAGCGCGTTGCTCGCAGAGCTCCACGAGGGTTGGAAAGTTCTACGTACTAACTTAACTTAACTTTACAGGACTTCACCGAGCAGAAAAAGAAGAAGAAGAAAAAAAATCTCCGACGACCGTCGATGATATTTTCGTTCCAGGCGATAGCTGGAGCCCGTCGCGGCCAGTTAATTAGCCGACGTTAGTTTTTCCAACTCTCAGCCGAGCGTACGGTGGCTTCACAGAAAGCCGGTGACCGAAGCGAATACTGTCGCGAGCCAAACGCACGAGCTCGGTATGGACCTCGGTCTGCTTCCTAAATGTAGTGTCATAGCGTTTACTTCAACTGATAAAGCGGTAACTTCCAGCCGGTTTTATGAGTTAGTGTTCACCCCAGTACTTAGTCAGAGCCCAAAAACCCAAGAACATCCTTTACCTTGAAGCGTTTTAAACCAGCAGCAGCAAACGTCGTCTGCTCCTCATGCACCGAAGTACAGAGCTACTGCTACCAGACCAACGACCACAATGCATTAGCTATTTATTCCAGAGTTAGCATTGCTAGGTCTCCACTTGAAAAGCTAGCCACTACTGAGTTAGCTGGCTAGTTCCCATTGACTCCCGGTCCAGCCCGTGCAGTAGTATAATACGTGTACACAACAGCCTGCGGAGCGCAGACACACGGCGGCCTACCAAATGTTTACATCGCACGGCGCATGCGCAGTCAGCTCACGCGACTCGACAGCACCGCCACGTGTTCGTGAGGAAGAACCGCACCTTAAAAACCCCGAACTAGTTCCACTTTTTTTTTTCATTTCTCCAAAAAGAGTAAAGATTGAAAATACTTGTTGTTGTGGGTGGAAGAGAAAATAGAAGTGTGTTTTATTTCGCAAACTAACCTCTTTCTGTATAGCACAGCCGACGTTGAGTTGGATTTGTAAAATCTAAATAAGGGTCACGCATGTTGTCCTGGTTGGACCATCTGTAATCGCTGTCTTAAAACCAGTAACTAGTGGAGTGTGTTCTATGTCATTAGGGTTTTCCACTAACATTCACCTCCTGGAGGCCTGAGCTCCCACCAGAGCGATCTTCACTTATACTGATACTTACTTTGTGGTTCATAAGTCACCTTTTCTATGTATAGCACTGTTGTAGAGCACAGACAGAACATTATTTAGACATTTTATCTTGAATTTTAGAAACTTTACATGTCAGGGATGCATTGAAATTGTCCTCAATGTCAACAATAGGATACAATATTTCAAATATGGTAGCACCAAAGACAGGAGGGCAGAGCGTATGAGACCATGTGTTATGAAAAGGGAGCATCTCAGCCATGTCCCTGTTACTCACACGTTCACCAGGTACATGACTGCGTGTCCCCCCCATCTATGAGATTTATTCAAGTGAAAGTGAAGGTTGAGCCCAGCATATTAGGTTCCAGCTTCCTTGTCAGTACTCTTTGATCACTTACCTCAAGTTCATTGCTGAGAAAAAATATACTTTTGTTCGGGTAGACTTGAGGTTCGAACACCGGCGCGTCAGTGGACATTCAATTAATGGACGTTATCCTCTTAGTTAAATCGGAAAATAACCAGCAATCAACTTGTGAAAAGTCTGATCTTCGGCAGTAGACAGTCCTCAAAAAATAAAAACCATCAACCGAAATCCAAATGAACTCATGTAAAGTGGAAACCGACGAGGAGCTCCTTCTCTTCGTCTAAGCTGACTTTAACTCAGCTGTCAATTGAAACTCATGAGGTGACCACATCCCTCCTCTGGTGAAAGCCGAGTGCCTCGACTCACATACCGAACAGTTTTGTAGCTTACTTTTCAGGTTTTCCGTGGGAGCGGTGACGCACGTCTTTTGTTGGTGGTTGAACACTCCTCTGCCCATTGAAGGAGCTGAACAGCAGCTGACGTTGGAGGTTGGAGGTGGAAACAACATGGAGACTGTGTACCACGCCATCTGATATCCCGTCACAACAATCAATCTCCGTCTGACAGACGTAAATAATTAGAGAGCTACGAGCACAGGGCGGAGTACTAATTGCCCGTAATGCAGGTTAAAAGCCACAAAAGTTATTCAAATGCAATGAAAATGAACGCTAACAAATATCAGTAGATTTGTGTTGGGCAGGTGAGCAAAGGCCGAAATCATTTATTGGAATTAGATTTGAAATTGACCTATTACTCGTTTAAGTGTGGCTGTGCTGGTATTGTTTGCAGTCCCGCCCTCATCCCCAGATGTTCTCTACTGATGCTCACTGGCTAAATAAAGGATGGAGTTTCTGCTCGATGGGTAATAATACCTGACTCAGCATGGTGACCCCTGAAGCTGTAGTGGTAGATATTATCTCTGAATAGCACCAATGACACTATCTTCCAGAGTCCACTAGGAGTAGACGGTTGAATCTACTCTTGATTGAACAAAGGGATACTTCAGTATAAACTAAAAGACAAGCTTCACATTGAAGGCACCAAAAGAGTTTTAGTTCAGCTTTCATTTGCAAAGTGCACCTAAAACTGGCACTGCAACTTACTGACATGTCATACTAATAATGAGAGTGCAGAAAGGGTCGACGGCAGCAATCTGCAGGATCGTAGCCGACCCCTCTCACCCCGGACAAAAACAGTTTGTGCCCCCATGTGGCAGGAGGCTGAAGTCCATCAGGACCAAGACCTCCGGCCACACAAACAGTTTCCTCCTCATCAACAGAGCCCGTGTGACTGACTGACTCTGACATCCCACCGGTCACTCCCTTCACACTCCACATGCACACACACATACACACGTCACTTTCACATACACTCACAACACAGTTGTGTAGAGAATGGCTATCTATTTGCTGTTGCACTTTATTTTTAACTTGTATTCCTTTATTTTTTAACTAACCCATAGCCTTATATTTTATTTTATTTTATTGCACTATGTCGTCTTATCTGTCTTGTTGCCCATTGTCTACTGTTATGCACCAACCGCCAAGTAAAATTCCTTGTATGTCTGACATATTTTGGTAATAAATGTGTCCTCATCCTGATAAATATAGAAACACAAAAGTTTTTTGCCTTTTCAAATTAAGGGACTGATGTGAGAGTTTATGTATTCATAATCAACAGCTGAGAGTCTATTTTCAGCATGAAGCGTCTTGTTAATGCTGCAAACGAGGAGGCAGACGAGTTGAAAGAGTAGGAGTGTTGCTCTTTGTTTGAAAGAAAACAAAAGAAGGAACGGCGAGATGAGTGGATTTGGGGTTGGGTGAAAGTGAGACAACTTTCGTTCCAACGTTCCATTCATACCACGTTATCCCTTTAATATACCTCTGTGTGTATCCAGTTAATTATAAAAAATGTTGAGATGTCCTCAGCTTTACCCTGATTACTTTTTAAAGAAAATGCACAATGTCATGGCATAAGATCTATTGAAACCACAACACGATTAATACTACACATTGGTCTCAAAACCCTCGCAAAGCCCCCGGTCTGGACTCCGTCTGCCCCCCACACCCTGAAGCATTGTGCTGACCAGCTGTCTCCGGTGTTCACTGACATCTTCAACACCTCCCTGGAGACATGCCACGTACCAGCCTGCTTCAAGGCCTCCACCATCATCCCTGTTCCCAAGAAGCCCAGGATCACAGGACTCAATGACTACAGGCCCGTCACCCTGACCTCTAGTCATGAAGTCTTTTGAACGGCTAGTCCTGACCCACCTGAAGACCCTCACTGACCCCCTCCTGGACCCCCTTGTAGTTCGTCTACAGAGCCAACAGGTCTGTGGACGATGCTGTCAAGATGGCCCTCCACTACATCCTCCAGCATCTGGACTCCCCAGGAACCTACGCCAGGATCCTGTTTGTGGACTTCAGCTCAGCTTTCAACACCATCATCCCGTCTCTGCTGCAGGACAAACTCTCCCAGCTGCACGTGCCCGACTCCACCTGCAAGTGGATCACTGAATTCCTGTAGCACGTGAAGATGGGGAGGCATGTCTCAGCCTCTCGGTCCATCAGCACCGGTTCCCCCCAGGCCTGCGTTCTTTCCCCTCTGTTCTTCTCCCTATAACACCACCAGCTGCACCTCCAGCCACCAGTCCACCATCACGCTCCTGAAGTTTGCAGATGACACCACCCTCATTGGACTGATCTAACTGGATCCTGGCGTAGGTTCCTGAGGAGTCCAGATGCTGGAGGAAGAAGTGGAGGGCCATGTTGACCGTGTCCTCTAATGACCTGTTGGCTCTGTAGGCAAACTCCAGGGGGTCCAGGAGGGGATTGGTAAAGGTTTTTGGGTGGGACAGGACAAGGCGCTCAAAAGATGTCATGACTACAGAGGTCAGGGTGATGGGTCTGTAGTCCTTAAGTCTTGTGATCCAAGGCTTTTGGGGGACGGGGATGATGGTGGAGGCCTTGAGGCCGGCTGCTATGTGGCATGTCTCCGGGGAGTGAGGACGCATCCCAAAGGGGGTGAACAGCTTAATGTTTGATCAAAGTTGTGAATGAGTATGTGGTGGAAAGCCCCTCTCAAACCGCCCCCATTCTGGCAGTATGAATAGAATAGATACAATGAAATAAATGAGATACATGTGTTGTCGTTTCAGTGAAATAGGTTGCCAAAAAACACACTTTGAAAAACTTTGAAAATTTGAAAAATGATGTGATGATTAAAAAAAAGAGAAACCGTGTCCAGATTTGAATCACACTCATAATAATTATATTCCGGGCGAAAGGCAGTCCTAAGAGTGGAGTAAGGAGCGCTGTTATTTGGGTAAATGGCAGCACCAGGTCGACAGGGGGCAGAGTGTTGAATCCTCGGCGGCGCGCGGCCGACCGGCTCATCCTGTGACGCGCTACTTACGGAGCACGCGCACCGAGCTCTTCCTTTTTCCAGTGCAGCGGAGTCAAGCCCTGTCTTTGGCTCCGGGCTCCTTCCTTAAGGAGACAAAAAGTCTGCAAAAATGGTTTGTAATTTGTCCCAATATGCGTCTACATCCGTGCCTGAGACACACATCGTGTGCTGTGCGGTGTCAGACGTTTAGAATCATGTCGCTGATGTTCAGATGAAGGTAGATTGAGTCCGGCTAATGGCTAACCCGGTCTGCTCAAACGTGGCCTAATGGCTGCCCTCACAGAGCCAGCGCTTCATTTCTCCTCCGCGATGTTGTCCCTTGATATTTTCCCCATTCTGCGACCACCGAGTCGCCAATTTAACACGCCGAGTTTCCACGTCGCGGATTCGCTATCGTCTCTTTGGCCGATCGTAGCCGTCGTGCTAACGTGTCCGTTTGCGCTGGCCGAGCCGGCTAATGCTAACGCGCTCTGACAGCACCGAGTGCAGTAACGTGGACGTGTTTTCCGTGGCTGTGTGTTTTTGTCCGCGACACTGAAGTTGATGCGTGTCTGCTTGCAGGGTTTTGTTAAGGTAGTGAAGAACAAGGCCTACTTCAAGAGGTACCAGGTCAAGTTCAGGAGGAGGCGAGGTGAGACACCCTCTTGACTGCCATGCCGGGGTTTGATGACCTGTCAAAGTAAAGCATGGTGTCATTTTTGCTAATTCTTCCTGCGCTTTCATCCAGAGGGCAAGACTGACTTCTTTGCCCGCAAGCGCCTGGTCGTACAGGACAAGAACAAGTACAACACACCCAAGTACCGGATGATTGTCCGTTTCTCCAACCGGGACATCTGTTGCCAGGTGAGTGCTTGCCGAGATGAACCGGTGTCTTAATCTGAAAGGCCAGAGATCAGCTTTTACCTGTTTAGAAGCTGACGTAACGTTGATATGGCCTCCATGACGCCAAATCTCTCTAGAACGTGCCCATACAAACATAAAAAGCAAGGTATGGAGTTTTCGGGACACTTCCATCATTGCAGCAATACAAGTTGCTTTACAACGTGCGCCGATGAACGTACTCGTGCTTTTCATTGATTACTTGTGATTGCGTTGCAGATCGCCTACGCCAAGATTGAGGGCGACATGATCGTGTGTGCTGCCTACTCGCACGAGCTGCCAAAGTACGGGATCTCCGTTGGCCTGACGAACTACGCAGCCGCCTACACCACCGGTCTGCTGCTGGCCCGTAGAGTACGTCCCAGCTCCTCTGTGTGCACACGCTACCCTGAATGAGATCAGTTCCGCTGTAGCGGGTGTTGATCTTGAATTCCTTGTCACCCTCAGCTGCTTCACAAGTTCGGCCTGGATAAGGTGTACGAAGGCCAGGTGGAGGTGACCGGTGACGAGTTCAACGTGGAGAGCGTCGACGGTCAGCCGGGCGCGTTCACCTGCTACCTGGACGCTGGGCTTGCCAGAACCACTACTGGCAACAAGGTGTTTGGTGCCCTGAAGGGTGCCGTGGATGGCGGCCTGTCCATCCCACACAGGTAACCTGCCGCGTCCAGGAGCTGATGCTTTTCTTGGCTGTTGAAGAAAAGATTTGTCCTTTTTTCTTAAGCAACACCTTGAATGCAATGTGTTGGTTTAGACTGGAAGTTGGATCATTTCTACTTAAGTGTTTGCGGCTGGTAGCGTTGAAATATTCAACGTGTACATGATTGTAAATTACTTTTATGATTCCTTTTAGGAGACTTGGCTCAACAAAGGTAGCACTAATTTTCATACTTTTGAGTCAAAACTGTTTTAATGAACGCTATCTTCCAGTGAGCTTTCTTTTCAAATGGCACTCCAGTCCAAGTGCACATAAATGAACTTGTAATACTGGCTGAATCGGTGAAGTCGATTAAGTGGCTAGTTGGTGTTAACTCATCGTCATGTTGATGTGAATGTAATTGAAGGCATGTTTTTGTAACTGCTTTGACAGATATTGAGCTACAGTTGGTGTAATCGGGTCTGCCAACCGCTCGGGCCTTTTCTAATACATGAGATATCTAAACACTAAGGGTTTGAAGGGGGAGGCGCTTGTATGAAGGGGACCAGCACAGGCTGAATGGCGGCGTGAAACGTTATTGAGTTGCTTGTCAAGTGGTCAACTCGTCCTGTCCGATGCTGTCCACGTTTGGCGATTACGACCCTTTGAGTTTACATTTTCTGTGCAGTTGTTGGCTGAATAAAATACCCAGCGCTGAATTGTCTTCCTAGGAGATGATTACATTTATTGAGAACAAATTGCATGGACTTCATACTGAATTGTTCATTCAGTTGTGAAACTGGAGCTGTGGTTACAAATGGACTCCTGTGGCAGGTTCTGTTCTCAGTCAAAACATCCTGTTTGAGAGGAAGCAAGAGAACGGCAGCAGAGCTTGATGGCAGAAGACTGAGATGTTGTCATGATGATGCGCCCGTAAACGGAGCTCATACGCAATCTCACGCGGCGCTGTTTGGATAAGGCACACGAGACGTGCCCTGACATAAAGTCCCCCGGTTGTGCTCAACTATGAAAAGTCATATAAATGCTTACAGATCCTCGTGGGATGCGCACATTGTTTAATTTGTATTCCCCCCTCCAGCACCAAGCGCTTCCCTGGGTATGATCCAGAGAGCAAGGAGTTCAACGCAGAGGTCCACCGCAAGCACATCATGGGCGTCAACGTGTCAGAGTACATGAGCTACCTGCAGGAAGAGGACGAGGACGCTTTCAAGAAGCAGTTCTCGCGCTTCATCAAGAACGGAGTCACCGCTGATTCGGCAAGTGGACTTTGTTTTGCGAGACATTGTGCAAACTGAATTTCCTCTGGATGGTGGATTCGTGGCAGATTTCCCACGCGGCTTAGTGATTAATCATGAGAAAGGGCTCGAGTTGTGGAAAAGCGATCGGTCTTTCACTCAGGAAAATGAATCCCAGAATAGTTCTTCTGGGTTTGTTCCCGTTGCTCGTAATGATTCTGCTTGCATCGATGTTAAAAATATATAAAACTTGGACAGAAAAAGGACGATATTCAGCTTCAGCCGGTGTAATTGGTCCTCTGCTCCATTTGTCCAGTAATTCATATTGATCATGACCCCATAATCCTTTTGACAAAGCATTAGTCATCTAAAAGAATTTCATTTCTGTCAATCGTTCCCAACGTTCTTACCCTGGTTATTACATTTTTTATGAATTGCTGCACAAACTGAATTTGCCCCCTCAAGTTTTCCTTGTGTCTCTTGGCACAAGAATCAGCATTTAGGAAATGCTTTGTTAAATATTATGTATTGACTTCATTAGGCTGCTTAAATCACGTCATGATGTACTGGCTTGGTTATTGTAAATGACGACGCGAAGAATATTGAAAGAGTAAACTTAACGTTACACAATAGATGACTAAAGTCTTCAGTTCAAATGTCTGATGGGAAACTACAAACATTTTGAATTGAGAATCAAAATACAAAATGATGCTTCCCCTAAACTAGTGAGTGAAGGATAAGCTGCATCCACCAATCAGATGTTGACTTATCTTTCTTTCAGATTGAGGAAATGTACAAGAAGGCTCATGCTTCCATTCGTGAGAATCCAGTCCATGAAAAGAAGCCTCCCAAAGAAGTCAAGAAGAAGAGGTGAGAAATGCTGTGGCGTTAAAACTCATTTGTTTAGGTCTTTATCGGCTCGCTTGCACTTGTGGTTAGATGCTAAACTGCATTTAATTTTCTCAGTACCTGTAACTAATCAAGACTTTTAGAAATCAAAGTGCAAAAGCTAACGTTTGCTTGTATGGTGTGTGTGACCCAGGTGGAACCGGGCCAAGCTCTCTCTGGCCCAGAGGAAGGACCGTATCGCCCAGAAGAAGGCCAGCTTCCTCCGGGCTCAGGAACAGGAGGACGCAGATTGAGGTGTCGGTCTGCTCAGTTCCTCGGAAATTTGTTCTAATAAATCTAATGAAAAGGAGCCACGGCCTCTTGTGTACTTTTTCATATATTTATTCATATATTTAAGTGTTGGGTCTCTTTTATATTTTACAGCAATGTGTTATTTGAATACAATTGCTTAAAAAGTAGCACTTTTTTAATAGGCTTGTGATTAAACTAGTCCTTTATGCAGACGGAGCCAAACCGGTTGACTATTCAGTTGGAATTAAAAAGGAAAGCGCGCACAAACAAAGCTTAACTGCGATGCGTTAAACAAGTGCTTTCCATTCAGGCTGGAACAGTTTGGTCAAATTTATTGATTACAATATTCTGAAATTCACCTACTCACTTGGCTCCAGTACATTGACGTCAACTTTGGATATAAAATGAAGTGACATTGACGGGATAAAACGTGAGTTACACTTGTCAAGGTTGACCGACGCGGGGAAACGGTCCTATATTTACATCCTGACCCGAGGAATCCATCTCCAGCCTCTTAGGAGTCTTTCGTGTGAGAGATCTTCTTCCAGAGTAAAGTCTTGAGATTGTTCAGAATCAACGAGTGTTCAATCTCCATCTGCTCAGTCGACCCTTTGAGCGCCACGCACGAGTACAGCTGCTTCTCCAGCTCCTCCCTGACGTCGGCCGGGGCGCCCCTCAGGACGTAGTCCTTGAGCGCCTCGCAGGCCTTGGCCAGGTTGGGCCTGGTGACCTCTGGCGTGCAGCGGTGCTTGGTGAGGTCGCAGGAAGTGACGCAGTCGGCCCCGTAGAGGCAATCCTCGTCGGCGTCGCAGCGCCGCTGCCTGACCTCTTCTTGGAAGACGGCCTCGGGCACGATGTACCGCGCGTCCATCACCTTCAGGTCGTGGCGGCCGTTGTAGCCGAAACTGGCGGCGCTCACGTCGCACATGAGGAAGCTGCCGAAGGCGCCGTGGAAGACGTCCTCCACCAGCTCCAGCAGCCCGATGGAGATCTTGGCCCTGTGCGGCCAGGAGGGGGTGAACCACTGGTCCACGCTGCGGCGCAGGCCCGCCGGGATCCACGCCTCCACGATCCACGGCAGGCTGATGCCGTACAGCGGCGTGTGCGGCACCTTCTCCATCACGTACAGGTCGCCGCAGAAGCCCAGCAGCTTGGGCGTGTGCTCTCTGTCCTGCAGGACCAGCGCCAGCAGGAACTCGTTGAGCTGCAGCAGAGCCCACGTGGAGCGAGCCTCGGGCAGCGAGATGTGGCCGTCTCTGTTGGCGTCCGTTATGGACAGCACTTGGGTTGCCAGGTCCGCGATGTTGGCCTGATCCCCCACTTTAGCCTGTGGAAGAAAAGGAAACCAGACAAAAAGCTTCTAAGTTTGACTTTTAAAAACAAAAGTATAGTTACTGTTGCAACGTCTGCACAGTAGTAAACGAGGCGGATAAACGGAGGGAAAGAATGCCGCTTTGTAACGCTAATGGCATTTGAAAGATTCATGAGGGAATTTCTCACCTCGAATGTTTCCAAAACATGCTTTATTTTACTGTTTAGCTTAAATGAGATGTGGCTGCCATGATGAAAATGAGAAAATTACTCATTTTACAGCTAAGCGGTCCACTAAAACATCCAGTATTGGAATCTTGACAGTTTGCGCTCAAGAGCTTCCCGAGCAGTGATGGCCCGCTGCGTTTTACTCTTAATGCCAACAAAAAGGGACCAAGTATCTGACAAACGTGGCTGCGTTATTTCTCTTTGAGTTGCCAGCTGGAGCTTGAATAAGTGGCTTCCTGACCTTCACGTGGTTTAGGATCATTTCTCTAAACTTTTCCACCGACGTCCCCTTGGTGGGCAGTGTGAAGGCCGCAGCCTCCTTCCTCGGCTCCATCTCGCTCCCCAAGTCGTAATGAGGCGCCTCCTCCATCTGGCACTTAATGACTCCCTCCAGGTCCCCCCAGATCCCCGAGTACACCTGAAATAAACGCGGGAGGCCTGAGCTGCATCTGGATTCACTACGAGCAGAGTGGGGAGAAACGATGTGATTATAAAAGACCGACCTGGCTTTTGGGCTGGGCGGTGAAGCACTTCCCCAGGTAAATCGTGTCCTTCTCACAGAGGCTGCTGCAGGCCGAGCCGTCAATGATTCCTTTCTTGTATTTATTGCACTGAAAAATGACTGGTAATGTTGGTAAGCTGCACAAAGGGGACTAGGGGGGGATGATGACAAGGGTATCAGGCGGCAAGAACACGACGCATGTGCATACTCACTATCGAATTTTTGCAGTCGTGCCCTCGGCACAGCTCTGTGTAGGACGAGTACTCGACGTACACGATCCAGCTCCCCACGAACACGGCCAGCCAGGAGAAGAACAGGTACTTCATGTGCAGGTAGGGAAGCCTGGCCTGTTGGAGACAGAATGCAGGGGGGGGCGGGGTTCAATCACTCAATGGGATCATGGTGTGGATGTTTCGGTGCATCAAACTCTCTGGGGTGATTGCATCAAAGGTGATTTTTCATGTTCACAGTGAGCCTTTATAATGGTTCTTGTGTTTGTTCAAGCAAATCTTTGACGCAAGTATTCTGAGAAGCACAATCCAGGAATGAGAATGAATAGTGTTGAAATCAGTGTTGACGTTGATGCTTTACAAAGTGCACGTGCACGGCCGACAGGAGGCCTCGGTGAGCAGGGAATAAAGCTTCACAGCGTGCGTCCGTCATATCGGTGAGCTTTGAGACCTTTATGAACCCCTTTCCATGAGGCCGAGGGAATTACCCACAATTCATTGCAATGTGACGTTAAAAAGGGAATGAGCCTGGAGGTTAAGAATAAAAGGTAAAAGGATGGCACACATTACAAGCCTGTAATATTGGAGCAAAAAGACATGAAATCAGGTGTAAGATACTTGTTTATTCATCAAATATTTCATTTTCACATCAAAGCTTTTTTTAATTAAAAAATGGTAACATTTTAAACATTTATTTTAAGAACCTGGAAAATGTTCAAATTGGGTAGTAACATTTATGAAATACTCCCTTGCACATCCTCATTTTTGATGTTGCCATAGTGACGTGACAAGAGCATCAAAGTGCTTTCCCCAGTCTACCATTTCCAGCCCGTCCAGACTCAACCACTTACCGGGAGACGCAGTCTGTAAAACCTGTAACATTTGCATCTCCCAAACAATCCGGTTGCACACTTTTTGCTCACTTATTAGATCACGTTTGATGAAACGGAACATCGGTGCTCAGCATTTTGTCAGCAACCTGACAAAACACATCCACGACGACACGCCATGTGTTAATTGATGCTTACAGTGGAGTCCTTTGCTCTGTGAGTCGGGTGGTGGGCTACAAATGAGCTACTAAGAGTTGTGTCGTAGAGTAGGCCGGCGTCATTAGTGCACGTTGCCTCTGAATAGGTGCTCCGTGATTAACAGCAACAGTGGAACATTTAGAGCAACTCCAGCCTTGTTACCGCGGCTTTTCAATTTTCTTTCTAATTCCCCTGCTGATGAATACAGTCTGCTGCGATCAATAATGGCGGTCTTCCAAGTGGAGAAGGGGAGTTTTTAACAGTGCTTCCATTATGGATTCTTGTACTTGACAGTGATGGACTCCCCCTGCTTCCACTGTCTGCCCACTTCAGCTCGGGTCGGCTTTATTACCCTGCCCCCCCCCACACACACACACACACACACTACTTTTACTTTCAGTAAGACTCGTGCTTTTCGATTCGTAGCGCTGACAGATGAGCGTAAAATGGTTCATTGGTCACTTTTATGCACTTAAACTAATTAAAAAAAAGCTCTTTTAGAAGCACAGAATGTAGTTTTGTTTGCAGTATTGACTAAGAGATTACATTTACATCTCCCATCCATTTTGTACCGTTGACACCGCAGATCATTCTGAAATATAGCTTCCAGGCAGCATCTATAATGCGCGCTGTCGTCCGATTCCTTTCCAAGCAGCGGCCTTTAATCTGATGTTGCTCTGTGTTTTTTTAGGAGAAAGCATGTCAACGTATATTTCTACCATTGCTGTCAGGGCCGTAGGGACCAGCAGAGGTCGTGTTTTCTTCTCCATAACTGAGAATCTAACAGCATGAGGAGTTTACACTCTTTAGTGGCACAAGATTCGAAGCCAATATGTGATCATTTTAACACTTCAAACATACATTATCTTACTTCATTGCTATAAGCTACTTTAGGAAAAATATTGGATTGGGTTTAAAGCCAAAAGGAGCATACGGGTATATATGTCCCTTATACAGTATACTGTATGTCCCTTATATATGTATATATGACAGGGAGCAGCTTACAGCTCCTGAGAGTAACACAGCAACACGTTGCATTCGTCACCTCGATACATTTTAGATCTCAAATTGACTGATGCCAATTTTGTACATAGAACACTAATCATCTCACAAACACCTCTGGGAAAAAGGAAATGATAAAATAGTCCATGACGAGGCATTTAACTTAGGCTATTTATATATGGTTGGGGCTGCTTTATGTGTTGATTGGTTTACTTCCCAATCTGACCGTGCTGGCGCACATAAAACGTAAAAGCGATGACCACACTAGTTCGCCCATAGTTCCTCCATATCGATCTCTCTGTGGGTGAAATGCATCAACAGCAAAAGTATTATGGAAATAACACGGTATGCTATCGCTTTTTATAATCAATGTGGTTTGTGGCTTTCATTTCAACTGCACTTCTATCACCGGAAATATGTATTGACCCCCATGTGAAGGGAGAGAATTACACAAACATGGCTAATGAGCTGATATCGACTGTGGTCGATGTGACGGCTATTAATTAGAGACTGACTGGGAGCTGTGGCCGTGAGCCGGGGTGGGTGGAACGAAGCGCCGGGCCTCCATCTGCTCCAACCCCCTCCTAGTCTACACCCACTCACAGGCCTGTTGAGGGGGGGTCGTGTGTTCAGACCATCTCACCCCCGAAGGTTCAGTTCTAGTTTGTAAGACTGAAGCTGATTCCACGTTGAACCACTGAGGCAGAGAGGAGATTGAAGCTGATCAAGAGCAGCACATCACTGTCCTGGCACTTGGCTTTCGCAGCCTGCAACAGCGTTCATCCATTCATCCATTATGTATGATCATGAAGCTATTCCTCAGAGGTTGCCGGTTAATGGGCCGCTGTGCCGAGCCGAGAAAGACAGGATGGCCCGAGAAGCGGCGGATGGACGGGGCGAGGCCAGCTGTTTGTCAAATGTCAAGGACAACCGGAGAGAGTTTTGCACCAGTAGAGGCGGAGAGAAAAAAAGAAAAAAAGAAAGAAAGGATGCCACGCTGTCTGCACAAACACTAAAGAGCTGACTTATCCCAGTCCAGACCGAAGGCAACACGCACACGCTCCCGCTCCCCATACAAAGCCCGCATTTCCATGCTGACTCAATGCTGCGACAATAACACACGTGAACATTTTATCAGCCGTTGTCCTGTCTGTCACGCTGCTGTGCATCTCTGCAGGGATTTCCCAAACAGTCGACAACTGCAGCTTCCTGTATGGGGCAAACGCATGCGGGTCTTTTTTTTAAAATGAATATGTAGAAAACTCGTAATTAATTAATTAAACCAATTAATGTCGAGCAATTAAAGTGGCATGCAAGTGGCATGCATGCATGCATCAACCGAAAGCGGATATGTCAGAAATCATCGTAGATTTGGAAATTATTCCGGTTGGAAATTCTCCTGTTTGGTGACATTTCTTTGACTGAATTTGAATATCAATATGTAACAATCCTTGTTAAATATAAGCATTCTACCAACGCATTTAACAAAGGGTCTACCAACCCCTATAATAATAATAAGGATAATAATGCTGTATGTCATTTATTTATTGTGTAAAACAAAAATAGACTCAGTAAATCTGTGTGTGCTGCATATATGTGTGCCTCTATCAAAAGTATCTAACCTAGATTTAAGAAGTAATAATTAGATTAGGAACAAAAAGCAATTATATAAATTAAGTTAAATGTAAAATGCAGAAGATTGCCATTTACAAGGTAATCATCTATGAAGTGAATACAGCACAACTAGTGCCCTGAGCAACGCAAAGGATTCCTAAAGAAACTAATGTGTCCCTTGTTGAAATATTAAGTAAAAATAAAAAAAGAAACAGAATGGACTTCAAAGATTTCGATTGGCACTGGAGGCGTTTACACAGTGTGACTGCAGAAACAAAATCCTCTTTGCATTACCTGGATGAGCGCAGACATTGTGCTCATCCAAAGACTTCTGTGGTGCGGATATAAAAAGAATCATATAGGAACAACACCAACATCACCAGCTCGCGTGACACGTCGGCTTTTCATGTTTCAGAGAAAATAGCTTCTCTCCAAGGACCACGGACTGACACTTCTTAAGTTGTCCCTGGAAGGCTGAGGTGGCCTAGAAACCTGCGCCATGCGGGTGACCGTCCCCGGAGACTGGCGGCTCCCGCTACTCACTGCATCTGACAGCTTCTGACTCTGAAATGCACGGGCACGCGTGCTCTGGAAGCACACGCCAGCAGCCCAGAGGAGACGTTTCACCAAAAGTAGGCAAACGTCTCAAAGAGGAGAAGCAGAGAGACTCTGGTGTGATGACGCAGCAGCAGGGAGACACTTTGAGACACTTCAGCCAGCCGGGGGAATGTGCTCGAGTTGACCTTCTATCAACGATCTAACTGTGTGGATGTTAATTGAGGGTTCCTGGGGGCCTCCACCGGTTCTTGAGGAGCAACCCTACAGCAGCAGAGTTGAATTGGACTTCTCAGGAAAGCCACAGTGGACTTCATCTAATTTCACTCACATCGAACACGTTACATAACGTTCGCCGACATAATGAGGATAACGAGGCCAGCAGCGGCGTGGGGGTGACTGATGATGAAGTGTTTCTTGTTCTGTAAACAACCCAGAGGAAGTACCAAAGAAACGAGGAAGTACTTGTGCTATTATAAGTTCTGCCGTCCCCCTTTTTTTTAACGTGACTGTAGTGTACACCAGCACCGTGTATCATGGATGTGGTTGCTACGGCAACGGGGATCAAGGAGGATGGTTGAGCCGTCGTGCATCAAGTGACTTTATGATTCAGTCTAAAAAAAAAAAAACCCAGCCTACACAGCAACCGATGCGTTTGCAAAAGGGAATCTTAAAGAAGTGACAGGCGGTGACATCAGACAGATGGACACCGGGGGGGTGCGCTTACCTGGATGTGCAGCGGCTTCCTGCAGAGTCCCCATGGAAACCGTCCTCTCGCCATGGCGAACGGAGAACATCTCACTCAACCCGTCACGGGAGGAAATCGGGCGCTCGGCTCGCGCGGTGCGGGGAAACGGTTAACCCTGCACATCTCGCTCGCATTGCGAGCAGTCGTCAGTCATTCCGTCGGCGGCATCGTGCACGCTGCGCGTTCGGAGGCGGAAGAAGCGCGACGCCCCGCGGACTGCAGCGAAGTGAGACTCACGTTGGCCGCGCTCATCCCCCCCCCGGGGCGCTCCGACCAATTACAGGAGGAGAGGATGGCGCACAGTCAGCGCCTTCAGGTGCCTTCTGACTCCAACGCCAATCTGCAGATTCGTTTTCCAAAGCAAATTGATGTCTATTTTTAGGTGACAGAGAATTTGGTTGTGTTTTGTATCGGTTAAAAAAAAAAGAGAAGTTACACAATATTGACGAGTTTGTGAAAAACACGTGTGTGAGTTGCTATTTAATGTAATTTACTGCGAAACAAAGATGACATATGGGCATTCAACACACATATGACAAATGTGCTTTACAATAAACTGCTTCATGCACGTTTGTATGGATCTGGATGAATGGGCCTGTTGACTCGGAGTGGCTCCAGAGGATAAGTACGTTCCTGAAAATGGAAACACTAAATCTTTCCAGTAAAACGTCTGTACATCATTCGGAATGAACATCATTCTAAATGATGCACTGTTTGCAAAAAGAAATCTGAACATTCTTTATGCCGAGTTTAACAGTAAATCCAAAAGCAGCGTTAAGTGCCGCAACCAGTAGGAAGACTTTGAAATGACACAGAACTACTCACTGATTGACAGAAAGGTCATCTTTAACATTGCATAGCAGCTTGCCACTGGCTCTGTGTCGCCTGCTGCTTTGTCGGGTTTTGGGTTTAAGTTCTTCCCTCCTGGTGCGTAGCTACACCATTATCACTATAATATTTGGTTCTTCTCACCTAAACTGAGCTTTTTAGTGTCTCTCAGCCAGTCGCTTTCATGGTCCACATACCACATATTACCATAAGGAGATGCAGGACAATAAAGCAGACCTAAAAGTAGAGTGAATGTGTACTGATGTTGAAACAAGACAACATCAAAGTAATCAAAGACTGTTTAATGGACTTCAACTTCCAATGAAACTTGCCTCAGGGAAAAAATGCTTTGATGATTTCGTGAAAAAAAAAGTAATTTCAGGAAGAAGTCCCATTGGGAGATGAGCCAGATGTCTCCAGGTTTTCTTCGTGGACTCGTCTCACAGCTCAGAGGGAAGCTTGTGTCCTGTTGATGAAGAATACGAAGCCTTCGGCTCCATCGTCTCAGCAACGCTTGTGAATCCCTTCATCCTTGTTTTGATATATCTTTCTTTTACTTATTACATCTCATTGGGATTAGCCTGTACCACCATGTATGTATTTTCTTCCATCATTGAATCCTACTAGTGGCGAGCAGAGGAACATCTGTAGACCATCCTTCTTTACAATAGAGATTTGCATATTAATGTGACATGTGAAAAGCAGTAATATCACATTACTGCTTCCTACAAAGGAAGACATATAAGATCGTAAGAGTGCTCTCAATGAATGGACCAGCGTTCAGCCATAGAGCCCATCGTCATGTGCAGCACGATGCCCATTATCATCCATCAAAACAGCCAAACTATCTGCGATTGCATGTCATGATAAAAGCTTTACCAAGTGTAAAAGCTAAAACGCAAAATGTCTTTGCAGTAAGAGATGAAAGAGATTTGATTTGCTCAGACTCCAGAACGCATGCATCACAACAGAGCACACTGCTAAGTTCTTTATAGAGACCACATTAGGGAAGACAGAAACAAAGCTGGCATCACTCGGAGAGCAGCTCAGAGATCAGATGTGGGAGTTATGAAGGAAACTGGATGCACATGTGGTGTTTCCTGAGATTATGCAAGACCGATTACCTTGAGGCACTTTGAGTGGGCAGATAGAAAAATCTATTTCTACATAAGAACAAACAAACAACAACCTTGATGCGGAGAGGAAGGCAGATGTGGCACCAAAACTGAGATTGTGGTTTCAGAAATATTCCTCTGGATGCCTGGTTTAGGTAATCACAATGTCCAACGTGATGAAGGCCTCCTCCACAAACACAACCTCTCCGACGCTTCAACACTGCATCCACAGAGACGTCCACGCCTGAAGCCAGTTTACCTTCCATCAATCCTTGTTTGTTCTTGCAGCCCACACCTGCTCATTACCTCTTCGTCCCACTCACATCCGTCGCAAGTCAACAAGTAACCGTGGCAACAAATGACAGGACGTTTCCCATCCAACCGCCCGCTAGAAATAATTTCTGATTTGGAACTATTTGTACCTGTGCTGCAAATTGTCTTTAATAGAGATGGCGCGGACGGGGGATGTGGGCTGTTGATTTAAAAGCAGATGTTGAAATGATCCTCTAAAAAGGAATATTGCTTCCTTAATTAAAAGTGCTGTGTTGAGATGAAGCCAGCAGACTTGCATTAAATTACTGGGATTAGCCTTCCCCCTCATGGGGATTTACCCGTATTACAACTTCATAGAGCTATATTTAGCTTGTGTACAAAACACACGGATAAGAATGAAAGCGGGTTCATGAGCTAAGAGAATGCGCGACAAATCACACCAAGAACGTATTTATTTGTTACTTTTTCAGTGATTCCTGCCTTTTCTAAGAGCTGAAGAGCCTTTGTGGAGTGTGTCTGGTAACATTCTGTTTTAGGAGGATTGTCAGCGAATCCAGAACCTGATCTATCCGTGCTTGATTGTTTATTTTTGTGGTACAAAACCTAAAAACAAATGAATGAGCCCTGGCTGACCTACTTTATAGCGTATTGCTTATTGGACGGGGTTTGTTTTTAATTAAAGGGCCAGCCCTTGTCACGTGGCTGTCACGCAGCGGTGTGGGGTTCCCGGAATGAGGACTCCAATGCAGAGTTTTACACAAAAAAAGGTACTTTAATGAACCCCCCCAAAAAACATGTTGCCTTGAATCCCGTCAATCTCCTGCAGCTCCTTAAATAATGTTGTTTTGCAAAAGCTGGCCTCTGGTGGAGGCCAACGTCATTACCACAGCGTTGCTCACGATATCACACTCTCAGAAAGGGAGGAGTGGGAGGAGGAGTATCTAGTTGTTTGCAATCTGCAAACTCACCCCAAGATGCCATCCATTTAGTAAAGTCTCCACAACTGACTTCACAGATGGTTTGAGTGTTTGTGTTGATGTGTTCTCCAGCCTGAAGTAGATGATTGATGATAGATGATGGACGATTTAAACGTTAGAAGGTCCCTCAAAATATTGTGTTGAGTGAGACGGCAAAAATGAGATCTTGAGTAACCCTTTTATCTAACACTTGTCCTCTCCTTGTGATGGACTTTGGAGATCACAAGTTGGAACAAGTTGATCCTAAATTCGTATAGTTATACTTTAACCACTGCAGCAGATGCACAACGCACAAAGCTGGTCAGGCTTGTGGACATTGCAGGATCAGGGTCAAAATACGCCATCATCACTGCTATATTCACTGTTTGGTCATGTGCGTGTTTGGATATTTCTTAACACAATCGCTTCATTATAGAGAAGGGTAGGAAATGTCTAACACAACAGCCTTTAATGGGTCTGCTCATTACCCCCCAGGGAAGAGATCCCACTGGACAAGCTTTCTGAAATAAACAAAAATGTGACTGTTTTAAAAATCAAATTTACATTGCGCAATCCTTGGTTTCATATAGGTGTGGTTTAGGTTTTTAAAATAAAATGAATGTGAGTTTGTTTTTGTTCCTACAAGCGGCCGAAAGGAAGGAAGGAAGGAAGGAAGGAAGGAAGGAAGGAAGGATGGGGAGACGGAGGCTGCGTTGGTCACGCTGCAGGAGCTCTGCTTAAGGACGAAAGAAGCCCCGGGGAGCCCTGCAGGAGAGGGCCTCTTATTAACAGCACAGGAAAGCTGAAAGGTGAATTACACGGACGGGCCTTTTTCTATCTCCCTACAATCAGGAGCGCCTTTACATTGCTAATGGTTGTAAACATCAGAAGAAAGAAATCTAATGCAATAATACCAACAGGTGAGCATTTACGCTGCTCACCTGTTGGCGTAACATTCGAGCCTCCCTGCTGTCGTACTAGAAGGCCACATTTACTGGTCATTACATGATGTTTGTGATGGGAGTGGGTGTCTTGGAGGGAGTCCCAGCTGACAAGGGAGAGCTGACAGTTTGATCGAGTGCCTGCTGTCTCTTTTCCTTCCTACAGCTGACATCCCCCCCTGCAGCACCTCTACAGCACTTCCTGGCACTGACTTTGCTGGTAATATTTGTGGCAGATCCTGGATATCTAACTAACAGATTACGGATTCAAATGTAGCAGGTGAGCTAAACACACATTTTGTGAATTAATGCGGGAAATATGTTGTGGTCACTGATCAAGAGCAGAGAGAGACTTTACATGAGTACAAAACACTCCAAATCTCAGCTTCAGTCACACAGTCTCAATTGATGCCCGGCTGCGCCTCTATTCCCACCTTGCACGGGACGCCAACACAACGCTGCAGCCCAAACAGCCAAGACAGAGGGGCCGTGATCCGCGAAGCCACCTGAGGCAGACTGGAAGCATACGGCGTGCAGGAACAACACTTTGCTGCCAATAATTAGCACAAGCATGAGTATCAATTGCAATTTTTCTTGGTTAGGGTTTGGCACCCTCAAAGTACTTTTCCTGTAAATATGAATGAATAGACTACTGTTAGAGGTACAATTTATTGTCAGATTGTTAGTTTGTTAACCAACAATGTAACACTCTCCACCGCGGTGGATTAAGGTTGAGGGTGAATGAAGAGGCGTGGGAACAAAGCGCTTACATTCTCAGGGACTGGTAGGAACATCCGTCCCTCCACACAAAGCCTTCTGTGGGACGTCTGTTCTCTCTGTGCCTGATAGAAATATAAACACACACACACACACACACACACACACACACACACACACACACACAGATACGTAATAGAGGCTAGAGAGGGCCGTAGCCTCCATTAGAGAAGCAGGGCCGCACACCCTTCTGGAAGTTGTTGCACGGTCTTTGACACAGTCATCCACAACCTGCCTGACTACTTTCACATATACTGACTACTTTCAATTGTAACACAATTAAATAGTTGGTAACACACTGACTGAATATGATCAAAAATGGTGGAAGCATGGCTTTTTATTATGTTTTTGTTTTCTTTTGTGTCTTTATTGTATATATGTCTTTATATTTCTAATGGTATGTCCAGTATAACATACTGCCGGCTCATGTTTGCAAGCTGTTTTGAACCTCATTCCTCTTCGTCTCCTTTGTTTGAATCCTCCAAAGCGGAGCCGGGTCAAAAATGAGTAAGTGTAAAAAGGATCCATTTTGCCTGCAGCCAGTCTTATGACTTGTCAATTGCAATGGTGTGTACTGAGAACAGGCGGTTTCCAGATGACTTGCAGACATGTGAGGTTACAAAAGGCTATAAAAAGCACTCATTTGAAAACAAAAAAGGCATTTTATGAGCTGCAGCAGCACAAAAAAAAATCTATGCTTCAGAGTGGATCATGATTGGACGTTGAAATCGTGTTCAGAGGCGTCTTCCTTGTGTCTTATGCTCACTGATTGTTGCATCGCAGGACACTCAGTCTTGGTGTTGACTTGCAGGTCGTGCTGTTCCCATTTTTAAAACTCAACATGAGTAACCTCGATGGCGAGCTCACTCAGAGGGAGCAGCAGTTACTGAAAATCCGGCGCGACAGCGACACCAAGGCAGCCGAGCTTGTCAAGATGGAGAAGATGCTGCAGCAGACCAAGAACCTTTTGGACAAGAAGACGGAGAGCGGTTCAGAGAGCCAGGACTTCCAGGAGAACATGGGTCTGTATTGCTAATGGAAACACGTTACCCTTCATGCTTTAACCCGTGGTTGTGGCGAGTGACTGTTTGTTTTCCTTGGCCCGCTGGTCGCAATAGAAGACCTGGAGGAAAGAGTAAGATCCAGCAGACGGCAAAGGAGGAACTCCCTCCATCACACACAGATGCTGGAGAGCCAGATGAAGACTGTGAAGGGCGAGTTGGTGGGCACGCTGGACCACCTCCAGGAGCTGAGGAACGTCTTGCGCCGCTCGCAGCAGAAAGCGGAAGAGCGCAAAGCCACCATGGAGAAGCTGGCGGCGGGGCTCAGGTGAAGCGCGGCGAGACGAGGCTTTGGCCTTTTTGCACGCTGACGCCGGGCAGAGATGACATCAAACACCCGTAGGCCACTGAACGCGAGGGAAGAGACGTGAGCTGCTGCGGTGAGGCCATTGTTTGGCATCCAACGTTCAGACTTTGGTCGTGCTCTCTCACAAACGTCTGAGGTGGCTTCTTCATCCTTTTATCCTCCCTTTATTGTCCTGTTATTATTAATACAATATTTTGAAGGCTAAATGTCGAAACGCTTTTGATGTCCTCAGTTTTAAAATACAATCAAATACACATCATTTTTTTCTTCTTCAAGTCTGAAATATGCAGCTTTAGAAGCAACATATACTCTGAGCAGCTGTCATGATCATTTGTGTTTTTCTGGCTTAGCATGTCCATTCGTTTATGACAGGAAAGAGATAACATAGATCCCCTCCACGTTATTGACGCACTTTTAATGAATTCCTCCCTGCCAATAATAACATGTGTGTTGTTTTTTGTAATCTAAATCTGTAACCATTTTAGAACAAAAAAAAAGTGGATTTAGTCTCCTGGCCCATGCATGCACATGTTAAAAATAGCAACATAAATGCCCATTTGTGTGGGCGTAAGTGGGGAGTAAAATGTGTCTTTTAAATGAACTCTTTTACAATGTATCGTCGGGAGTGCACAAATAAACAATCCTGACCATTAAATGGTGGAGGAAAACACTCAGTGTTTCGACTCGCTCCGGGGTCATTGGCTTTTGTCTGTTTCCTGCGGTGAGTCAGCTGAAAAGTGTGTTTGTTCCTTCCCTGTGGCTGAGCTGTGATCACATACATCTTGTTAAGCACCGCTTGATTCACACAGCCTGACATCATGTGAGACTTTTCTTCACAGACCCTGACCCGTAGCTGTAATTATAACACCATGTCAAGGGGAAGACTGCTCATTACCCACAGCCGAGGGCGTAAAAATAGACACCCTCACTTTCAAGTCTCTCACAAGGGACTCATTCTGCCAACTCCTAAGGACACTGGGGGGTTTACAGGGGTTTTGGTGTATGAGACGCATCTCTGTCAGGTTTCCTTTGTGTGCTTATTCTTCATTGACCAACAATAAACAAAAGATGCAATTAAAGGAGTGATATACAACCATGCAATGACTATTTCTGGGTACATGCTGATTTTATATCAATGTCAAAACCCATTTTATTATGAGACAATGTGATGGTGTGTGTGCTTCAACATAGAAGTTCACTAGCGAGCGACCTGTCCACCTCTGACTGTCAGAGCCTATTAAAAGGAAATGATGACAATGACAAAACCCACAAAGAAATTAATTGTGGGTTTTGTTGTGCACAATGAAGGTCTATTTACTGTGCCTATTGTTGTTGTTTGAAGATGTATACAAGCCACTGTGCCTTCGATTCATGTGACTTCTTGTGTGGTGCCAGTCACGTGCACAGATAGACCCCTAATGGTGCTCAAGCACCTTCCTTTTTCCCCTGGCTGAGAAAAGTGCCCCTTCTGCTGCAGCCCAATCTTTTCTTCATTTGTCAATGTTTAAGAATAAAAATTACTCTAGGATCTCCTTGACAACGGAAAAGATAAGCCTACTACAGGACCAGATGAGAAGGATGGACGACTAAAGAGCAGCGGTCGCCTTTCTTTCATTGTGTTAAGTAAGTATTCCCTCACTAAGACTGCTGAAATATCAGTAATACAGTTCCATCATTGGAGGCCAGATTTGAAGCAACAATGTAAAAGTTGAGCTTGAAGGTTTTCATCACTTGTGTTTGTGTTTCACAGTGAGTCCCAGACCCAGAGAGCAGGGTTACGTGCTCCCTGCCCCGCCACCCCGTCACCACTCGCCCCGCGCGTCCGAGGAGAGGACAGGGGACGTCCCGTCCTCACTTGCACAGGGGGCGTTGTTTGTCTCCATCGGCATCTTCTGTGATCGTGGGTTTAGGAAGCTCCTCACACACAATGTTTAAATCCATTTTCTTAATTATTTGAAATGGGCTATACAAAATAACTTGCCTTGCCTCGACTTTCTTTATCTGACTTGCTCCTTATGGAAATGTGTGTAATCCCGGGTCGGCACCAATGGGATTTCCGTGAAAATGAAAAGTGTATTTGCACTGATTTGGTTAAAAGAACGTAACCATGACATCCTGCCTGTGCAGTGTCCCTCGCCTTTCAGGTTCAGCGCCGGTGTTTATGGGGTTAATGTGTAGACGAGTCTGCAACAGCTTAATTGAAGCCTGCCAGCAAACGTATTGTGGTGCATTTTCTAAAGAACATTGGAGTGAAAACCTGTTCATCCGCCTTATTGTGGCAACAGCCTCCTCAAAACAATTTTCACCTGCCATGTTACTCTATTATGTGTTTGCATGTGCACAATGAACTGTAATAAAATGCAAAATTTGGCCAATTTAATAGAATGTTTTGAAATGTTGTGTAAGAAAAAAAAAATATATATATATTTTATGTACCTGAGATAGGACAGATGTCCTTTGCTGCAACAATTTAGCAACATTTATAAAACTCTTCGTCTTGATTTCCTCCGTCTCCGAAAAAACAAGGTTTTGTTCCTGAATTTACGCCAGAGCGTCATAACAGACCGTAACGAGCTATTCAAGGTGAGTATCTTGTCAGGCAATACGGCTATTTAATGGTGAATTACCCTGTTACCCTAAAGGTCAATCTCCAAAAACTGAATCTACTTTTCACTTTCTGTCATACGTCCGTTCTTTTGGCCCAAACCAAATTGTATTCTGTCTGCTTAATGTCTTTGGCTTAGTAAAAGATATTTTCACAAATATACTGTGCAACATAAACCCACTCAGGACAGCAAATGCTTCAATATCCTGAGCGAGTCCATCCCACTCACCTTGCCTTTCCCTTGCATCACAGCGCTCATGTCAGGTTATTGCTTTCCTGCCTGTATCCTGCTTAAAGCCAATATACATTAAAAGTAACCCTAGTTAAATGAAGGGCCGGTTTTATAAGGGGCTCCATGGGGGATTGCAGATAATCCAGGAATATTAATGTAAATATAGATAAATTAAAGACACATGACTTTTTATTGCTTTATTTGAAGTTCAATATTTTCTGGAACACATTTATTTTCTTTCTTGCCACTAGCTATATATTTGACAGTTGATACCACTGCATCAACGGGACACAGTTCTCATATTTGCATTGTTCGGGTTGTTTCCCCTCCATTCCTGTGTTCATGGAAAGCTGAGCTAGACTGTATATCAGAAGGGGACAAAGTCACAGTGAAGTCCACCGTTGCTTCAAAGCCAAATGAGGAAACACTGTGGTAGAGACCTGTCAATCAAAAGGCAGCCACGCCCAAAGCATTCGTTGCTTCATTGTGTATTTTTCTCTAAAAGGAAATTTATTGAAGAACACTTGAAACCAAGAGGAGCCCGAATGCTTCACAGCTGTGTTCCAGCCACATAGTGCTGAACGCTGCTCGTCTTCGCGTGATATTTTCCTTCCTATGCTGATATCAGCCAACGCCCAACGCTAGATGACATCCATTTCAGGCACGCACAAGCTGGAACAGGTAGCCTGAAGCTGGCAGCTTTTTCCCTGTTGGGCTACAGTTAAGACTGTGTGTGTGTGTGCACTTGTTTGTGTGTGTTTGGTCTTGTGCAGGCACATCGGTATGTCCCAGACAAAGGCAGTGTAGCTGTGTGTACCCTACTCAACGAGGAAGAATGTGCTGATGCAGCTCTGGCAGAAGGATTGATGGACCCAGCCCTAACCTGAGGCGACTTCCAGGGCTCAGAGGAGAGATTTGTGCCTTAACTCCCTGTCCAGCTGTCACACGGGAGCAGGAGGCGTCACACGAAAACAAAGATCTCTTCAGGTTGTGTTATAGACCTTGGTTTAGGTGCTAGGAGTTATTCCTGCAGGGTTATGATGTCTGATCAACTAAGCCACCAGATAAGAAGAGTGTGTTTCACAGTATTCACATTATATTGGATCTAAATGATTCTGCAGCTTTCATTCCCTCTGTGCCTAAAATTTGATTACGTTATCTTTGGGCGGAGCAGGCTTACAGTCGCTCCTTGTTTCAACTCATCATGGTAAGCTCAAATCATGAATAATACTTACACCTAAATGTCTACAATACATGCATATGGATGCATAGTTTGTTAATAGATTGAGAATTAATGATTTAAATGGAAATAACATATGAAATGGCCATGCTTGGGTTTTATTTCAGTGGTCTCAGATTTTATTTTTAATTTAGCCTTGCATGAGGTTGCAAAACGTGTCTCTGTTTTGCAGCTCTTGCTTAAAGTGGGTTGGGTCGGGTTGCAGCTGGACACGCCTCTCCTTTTCAACGCGGATGTGTCTCTGCACTATATATCAGACATGAGCACAGACAATCAGGGTGGAAACCTGGACGTGCAGCAGTTCAGTGTCCCGTTCTTCTCATCCAGCATCTACCTTCTCTCCTCACCAGGTAATGCCAAGTTCTTGATTATCTGCACCTTTAGAATGCTATGAAAAACTTTCTTAAGCTATTCAGATGGATATTTATGAAGTAATGGACTAAATGCTTGTTTTACCTATTTAGAACAAGTGTTCAAGTCACATCGAAGGAGGCAAAACAGCTGTATACATTTTTACTGGCATGTAATAAATACTTTGGTGCACGATTAATATTCTTTGCATACATCCATTTTCTCCCAAAGTTCCACCTAACTGCGACGCCTCGGTAGCCTCGTGTGGGGGTTTTCTCCTGATTACTCATTCTTCTCACCTGTATCCAATGTCTAGCCCCCGGTGTTTCCCTCTGACGACCCCACCCTTATAAACTTACCTGCTTCCCCCATCAGAGTCTAGTTGTTCTTCCGCGTGAGAACTCTTATGTATTAAGACGATGTTTTTCCAAGCCGATGAGATAACCCACTGAATTCTGGGCCTTTTTCTAGATCAGTGATTATATCCTACTCGCTGTCGCACCTGTTGTCCATCAAATAAGAACTTGCCTGCTCCAAAGACCTGGTCTCCGCTGTCATTTTGCACTCGAGTCTCAGGCCCTGTGCAGCAACACGCAGCAATAATTACTCTTTGTATAGTAGGAGGTTTTGTTTCTTTGGACTTGGAGGAGCGGCTTTTCAGGCCCCAAAAAACACTGAGTATGTTTGCAGTGAGTGTAGAGGACACGCCCTCACCTGATGGATCAGGTGATTTTTCTTTTTCACCACTTCTATACCAACACCCTGCGGCTAATTACATGGAACCTGTATTACAGGTTAAGCAGCAAATTATGCACAGGGAATACGTGGCAGAGCTTTTGTTCAGAGATGAAGAGGATTTAGTTTTATTTTTCGACAAATGGAACACAACACCCTGTTGATTGACTTGTGAATGATTTGTGATGCACACGATTCATTACCAGTAACATATTAAACATCACCCAGAATATGCCGATGGTATAAAACTCGAGACAATGCTTTTATGACGAGTTCTGAGGGAAATCTGTATCCAATTATTAATTCAACACTGCTCATTTTCATTACCTAAATTTGCCATTAGTCTACTTTAATTATCCCCAAATTTTGATTAAATGCAATTCATAAGAAGTTTATGAATAGAGGAGAAAATCTGAAATTTCTGAAGCTGCACCTGGAGACTGTTTTATATTCGAGCATGAAGAGTGACTTAATTTTCCAGTTATGGTTCAGATATTCCTTTCAACCCCGCGTGAAGCTGTTACAGTATACCAACAGCTGTGTTCTAACATCTGTCCTTGCTGTGCCTGATGGGTTACTTGCTAATGAAGACGTGTCTTCCCTCAGACCCAGAGCACTATGGCGTTGCACAAGGAGTTCGCGGCCGCAGGTAAGAAGCCCGGCCTGCAAGTGTGGCGGATCGAGAAAATGGACTTGGCACCCGTCCCCCCTGAACTCCATGGCGACTTCTTCACTGGAGACTCCTACATAGTGCTCAACACCACCCGTGCTCCATCTTACAACATTCACTCCTGGTTCGGTATTGAACTTCACCTCAAAACAATCTCTGGCTTATAATATAATGAACCCCCACCCCATCGTTCGGCCAAGGTTTCCCTTCATTTTGTTATTTTGTATATTTTGTTTTTGTCTGTTAAACCGCAGGTGAAGAAGCT